ATGTCACATGTCGATCTTCCTCAATCAGCTTACGCACAGCATCAACGTTTTCTTGGGTGACTGCAGTTTTTGGACGACCTTGACGGGGATCATCACTGAGCTTGACACGTCCACGTTGAAACTCAGCAAACCAGCGATAAATTGTGGTTTTGGATGGGGCTTCATCACCAAATGCAGAAATCATCCGGTCAACACACTGTTTTTGTGTTAAACCACTTCGAAAGTCATAATAAATCATCGCTCTTGAATTTTCTCAAGTCAATTCCATTTTCTCAACGACTAAACAAGTTTGACAAAACCTCGTGACAAGACCGAGAATCTTTTTTAAAATAATTAAATGGTATTCGATTTTTAAAACCAAGGAGTTTTCAATTAAAAAGATTTTAATATGACAGGAACAGTGGAAATATTCCATTCCCGATACTTTTAGTGCAGCCTAGTACCTTCTGCCTTAAAACTCTTGATACTAAAAGATCTTTTTAAATTTCTGTTTGTAGAAACCAATATCCGAATCCAAAAAACTATTCTACTTTAGAACGAAGCCAAATTGTATACAGGATATTTCTTGCTTTGCCTTTCGGGAATAATGAGAACTATGTAGGTTTGGAGAGGTTAGTTTTACACTTTAAAATTTTAGTTGTATAAAAATCGTTCACGTGGACGTCAATCGTTTCATAAGCTTAAGTGTCACTCTGTCGTACATTATATAATATAAAAAAATGTGCATCGAAAGATGTTCGATGTCTGTCAGATTATTATAACCAGGCAGCGGCCTGGCTCTGCCCCTGGCATTGCTGAAGTCCATGGGCGACGGTAACCACTCTCCATCGGGTGGGCCGTATGCTCGTCTGCAAGGGCAACAAATAAAAAAAAAACCTTTGGTTAGCAATGCCAGAAGGACGATTAAGCCCACTTAATTTACTACGAAAATTGTAAGGTATTTGAAGTGTCGGCGTCGGTCGGTAACAATATAATGGCAATAAAAACGCGAGATTAAACAGTAAAAGTAGTTTGCATTACATCTTAGACTCGCGAATTCCGAAGAACAATAGCCTATAGTCGGTTTCCAGAATCATTCTTTCCACTTAACTGATTAATTTATTTACGCAATGTTATATTAATATTGCTTCGTTGGTTGACAGAGCTCTAGGTCCCCCCTGTTGAGTAGTTACCGGAAATCTTTAGTCGCGTTTTGTGGCATCTACGTAAAAGGTTAGGTTAATACTACGAGTATTGTAAGATCGATCGATAAAACAATCGATCTACAAAAACAAAAGTAAAATATGTTTCGAATTTTAATGAAGAAATATTATAAGATTTTTAATTTCCTGTTACCGTACATATTGAAGACGTTGACGTCACTATTGCGTAAGCCAAAGCGCCTTGCGATTAATCCATAGCGTTATTTTAATTTGACATTTTGTTTCATTCATTTTAAGTTCAGTTTTTATTTATTTTTTATTTTACACAGATTATTAAAACGTAATTTGATCATCGACGCATATGCTCTACATGATGGACCATATTTTTTTTTACCGAAACAAGACGTTGCGAATGTAGTAAACGTAAGACAGGTACTGGTACTTAATGCTTGGAAAAAAATTAAACTTCTTGTTTTTTTTTATTGCTTAGATGGGTGGACGAACTCACAGCCCACCTGGTGTTAACTGGTTACTGGAACCCATAGACATCCACAACGTAAATGCGCCACCCACCTTGAGATATAAGTTCTAAGGTCTCGAGTATAGTTAGTTACACTTGGTGTCACTCATGGGAATGATCCAATGTCAACAAAACTCCTTTAGATTAGAATACGATTTAAATAAAGTTTACAGAAATACGTAACAATTTTTTGTGTTTAATAATAGTTTTTCTTATATATTACACAATATCAGAATTCGTGTGTGCTATGCGTAATCTATTTATTTTACAAGTGGGTTATCCAATTGATTTGAAACTTCAGTTGTTGTTGGTATTTTCGTTATAGTGCCTTAATAGATGGCAGCCAAGTATTTTCAACAAATTGGTGTACTGCCTACCTAAAACATTAGCCATAGTAATAGAGGTGCGTGACTGGGTAGTACTAGTTATATGATATCTAAGATACTAAGCTTCCTTGACAAATAGGTTAAAATACAAAAAACCTTAAATTTCAGATCTTATACACAAATTGGATAGGAGCTGATGCTCTACTGAAGGCACAACCTCTTAGCCTACTCCAAGAATATTTCGGCGAAAAAGTAGGTACAATTATAAATTAAAAAAATTGGTTATGTATTACGAAGTACAAAAGCTTAGTGTTTTTATGAAAGCTTCTGGCACTTACGCTGTTTGTATTAATTTGTATGCTTTTTAAAATTGCGTATTATTTACAAACATTTATTATTTTGTGGCACCTGTGACAGAGAAGCTGAGGAGTGCGCGTTTGGGATGGCATGGACATGTGATGAGACGAAATGAAAATGAGGTTGGTAAGAGAGTGTTAACTATGAATGTGGAAGGATATAGAGGAAGAGGTAGACCTAAGAAGAAATGGATAGATTGTGTGAAAGACGATATGGGTAAGAGGGGAGTGAGCGAAGAAATGATATATGATAGAAGAGTATGGAAGGAGAAAACATGTTGCGCCGACCCCAGGTGACTGGGAGAAGGGCAGGATAATGATGATTTATTATTTTGTGTTTTCGGTAAAAAGGTTTAGATTTAAGCTTCTGTACTTAATTAAAGATGTCCGTATTTTTGTTTGTTTGTAGATAGCGTTTTATTTCGCCTTTTGCGAATTGTTTAATCATTTCCTGCTCTTAAGCTGCGGAGCTGGTATTGTAATGATTTATGAAGCATTCAAGGAGTTAAATTTGAGGACTGCACTGTACAAAAGACGGGGCGTCGAGTGAGCATCACTTAAATATATTTTTAAACATCGTCGTATGTCTTATTTTTTTTTTTATTGCTTAGATGGGTGGACGAGCTCACAGCCCACCTGGTGTTAAGTGGTTACTGGAGCCCATAGATATCTACAACGTAAATGCGCCACCCACCTTGAGATATAAGTTCTAAGATCTCAGTATAGTTACAACGGCTACCCCACCCTTCGAACCGAAACACATTACTGCTTCACGGCAGAAATAGGTAAAGCGGTGGTACCTACCCACGCGGACTCACAAGAGGTCCTACCACCAGTACACAGTACTACAGTTGTTACAGTGCTATTGTACTTAAGGGTCAGTGCAGCACAATAAGGATCTAGTAACATGAAATCGTGCGAAACTGCATCTTTTTAGGACGTTGAGCACTTAACATGCCTATTTGACCTAAAAAGGGCGTTGACATCTATGGCCAATATTTAAAGGCTATGACTTGCATAGCTTTTAGAAAACGTTCGTTTTTTCCCGCGCTTTCCTATTTTGATGGACCGAATCGCTCATACACGTATTCATCAGAAATAGCTGAACGCATTGTGATGGCACCGTAATATTTTCTAATACATTATGACGTTTTTAATTTTATGGCTTTTCAGGAATACGTTTTGTCTGAATGTCGGAAGTTATAAGAATTCGTATATGTGTCCGAATTGTCGTGATTTTGACATATGTCCATTTACTAGAGTGACTGATCATTGCAAAGAAGTTACATTGGGCTTCATGTTAGAATCTCCGTATATGATTTATTATTATATTTTCATTATGATTTGGGGTAGGTAACGTCTTCCAAAACTTTTACATTCATTACAACATTCCATGTGACCGTTTGTATTTTATAATGATACTAGATTCTAATGATTTGCAGGAATAATTTTTATTTTTGTGTGGAAAAGGAGAGAGCACTATCTATCATGGTTGTGGGAAAGTGACTGTGGTAGTACAAGTATATTAAGGTAACTAATAAGGTAACTTGTACCGTAAATATGTTGGGTGCGAGCGAATTGTCGCTGGTATTAATTTTTTTTTTCTCGGTTTGGTATTGCGGTATCTATACACAACGCAGGAGAAGAATAGAAGGTCGGAACAGCGTCAACAATCATTAAAAAAATTAATTCTGCATCAAGTTAATAAGCCTGCCAGTAAATAATTCTTAATTCAGTTAATACGCTATCTTTCTTAGGACAAACCTTTCATCGGGCGTGTAAGACACGTTGTTGATGCAGAATTATTTTTATAATAATAATTGTTGCGTTGTTTCGACTTAATATTCTCCTCCGCGTAGATACTCTACTCTAATCTTATTAAAATAAAATTATATTTTTTACATTACTATATTGTTTTTGCATGTTTCTGTTTCAGCAATGATTCTCTTGCATCCAATACACTTAGTCGGGCCATAAATACTGTTACAAAGGAAAACAAAAAAAATTCTATGGCAAATAAAATTTATTACTTTTACAGTGTGTTATTTTAATACATAAATATAAAACAATTTAAAGTATAAAAAGCTTATTCGAGGTGGTCTTCATTGGCTGCAATACAGTCCTTTAAACGTTGAGGCCAGTTATTAATAGAAGCACGCACTCTTTCCATGGGAAAAATGTTCACTGCCAATCGTACGGATTGTTTTAGGGACTCCAAATTATCATGGCGCTTAGAGCAAGCCGTACTCTCTAAAACTGACCATAAATCATAATCCAGCGAATTAAGATCAGGACTAGACGACGGCTAGTCTTCAGCTCTGATGAAGTCCGAAACGTTCGTTTCCAACCAAGACTGCGTAGACCGAGCTTTATAACCTGGTGCCGAGTCTTACTGGAAGGACCATTCTTGATTATTGAACATGGTGTTGTTAAGGAGCTTCACTACCTTCTCAAGAATGGTATCTTGATACACTTGTGCCGATGTTTTAATACCTTTTTCACAAAAGTATGGCCCAGTCACTCCTTCATAGCTAATACCCCACCAAACCATCACTGAAGTCGGATAGTGCCCACATTGCACTCTGTCGACTAATTGGGAAGCTTCCTTAGAGCTTTGCGCATAAATACGGTCATTTTGTTTGTTAAAATGTTGCTCAATTGTAAACAAATTCTCATCCGTAAACAAAATTTTTCTATGACCTCCCTTTGCGTACCGCTTCAGTAGTTGTTTCGATTTTACCACCCTATTCTCTTTTAAATTATCTGTTAAGAAATGACCAGTACGTCTCTTATATGCTGCAAGTCCTAAGTCATCTTTTAAAATACGCGACATGGTTCTAGGTGCTATCTTCATCTCCCGAGATAAAATCTTTACTTTCGGACAGGATTTCTTCGAATTCTTTCCCTTACTGCTTTGACCACCTTTTTCGTACGAACACTACGTGGACGGCCAGATCTTTTTCTGTCACAAACAGAGGAGGTCTCATTGCACCTATTGATAGCCCGGTACACAAACATTTTACTAATACGAAGCGTATGGAGAGTTTTAAAAATTGCTTTGGCTCCATACCTACTTTGTCTAATGCAATCACAGCGATTCGGTTCTCTTTATAACCCCACTCCATTTTAATATCGCAAAATATTGTACAATATATTGGCGCCAAAATGAGAAAACTCAATGAGAAATCATATAAAAATGACAGATTCCAAATTCAAATGTAATATTTTGTTTATTTTTAATTGTAACATTATTTATGGCCAGACTAAGTATTTATGATACATTGATAGCAAATTGTTTTTATTTCTATTATTTTTTGTTCCACAACAGACCCGACCATAAAGCTAACTTCAAGACCATCAAGAGATCAAAAGTGACAGGAATATTGAAAAATTACGACAGTGTGTTTACAAAGATATTCAATATTATAAAATCTTTAGCTGTGGTTTTTGCGCTCGTGAGTAAACTCACTCTATTTAATTATTAGCTAACACAGTTAACAGAAGGAGAATCATTATGGCTGCTACGCGTATAATACGTAATAAAAAATACACAAAAGAAATAATTTTCACTCTAATTCATTGTTTACAGCACAGAGTATTAAAATAATCTAATCTAAATCTAGGGCCTCTTGTGGGTCCACCACCCTGCCTATTTCTGCCGTGAAGCAGTAATGCGTTTCGGTTTGAAGGGTGGGGCAGCCGTTGTAACTATACTTGATATACTTTATAACTTTTATCTCAAGGTGGGTGGCGCATTTACGTTGTAGATGTCTATGGGCTCCAGTAACCACTTAGCACCAGGTGGGCTGTGAGCTAGTCCACCCATCTAAGCAATAAATAAAAAATATATGCATAGCTGATATTGATTTGTTTTAGCTGTTTACCACGCTTATATGTATAATATAATCACACTTCATCATATATTGTGTGTTCGTAATACATATTATATTATGGGAGTATGAATAATAATAATAATAAAGAAATGCAACAGAAATGAGTAAAGGATAATATAATATGATAACGTTGTGTATTTTTAGCTTGCTGTAATTTTCCCGATGACTTTATACTGGGCCAATTTACAATTTCGGATCATACACAAAGTGAAAGCAGAAATTAAAGATCCTAATTATGCGCATTTTGCTGGTCTTGCAATATTTTCTTTGATCTACGTTTTCGTTAATATGTTTTTTGAAAAGGTATGTACGTACAGGAATCAATTTAAATAAAATTAAGGTTCCACCTAGTTGCAATTCGTGGCCACGAAAATTGTTATTTATTTGAAACGTCAGAAATAATATAACTCCAAGAAAAAATGCGAGATTATACTGTAAAAGCATTTTTAATTATGTGTTTAAAATAAGTTTTGAACTCGGTTGCTTTTTTAATATTAAATTGGAAATTGCGTGATGATTTTTGATGTTAGATACCCCTGTGATAATAATATACTACTTATTATGGTATGCTATTTTTGCGGATTTTATTGAATTTTATTATACCTACAAATAAGAATATGTCTCGAAATTTTAATCGATTAATATTATCATTAATGTTCGTTGATCTGGGCAATAGTGTGTGGCTAGACTACGCCATGCTTGATACATACCTAGTCAGGTCATAAATTCTGTCACATGTTTAATGTAAAATAATTGAAACAAGTTTATTCATTATGTAACCATTCATATACCAAAATGAACTTAACAAAACATAGATTCTTATGACACTAAAGTTTATTCAAAACGACCTCCGTGATTTTGAACACAGGCCTTCAATCTGCGCGGCCAGTCGTCTATCGCAGCACGAACGAGGTCCATGTCAATATCGGCGGCTGCCTTAATCAAGGATGTCTTGAGTGACTCCAAATTGGGATGAGGCTTTGAGCACGCCTTTTTCTCCAAGTGTTGCCATATCTTGTAATCTAACGGATTCAAATCTGGACTGGAGGAGGGCCAGTCTTCGTGCCGGATGAAGTCGATTTCACGCGCCGCCAGCCAGTCTTGTGTGCTCTTCGCTCTATGAGCTGGCGCCGAATCTTGTTGGAATACCCAGTGCCTGTTATTGAACATGGTATGAGAAACAGGTTCCACAAGGTTCGTCAGGACTGTATTTTGATACACAACTGCATTCGTTTTTACACCTTTCTCACAAAAATGTACCTCTGTTAAGCCCCAATAAGAAACTCCCAACCATACCATGAGCGAGGATGGAAAATGACCTCGTTGGACACGCGGAATACGGTTGCTCGCTTCTTCACTACTGTGTGCGTACACCTTATCATTTTGTTTGTTGTAGCTCTCTTCTACGGTAAAAATTTTTTCATCCGAAAAAAGAATTTCCCGATATTTTTTTCCCGCGTACCGCTTCAACAAAGCGCGGCATCTCTTCAGTCTCAGGTCCATTAGACGAGCATTCAAACGATGTCCTGTTTTTCTTCGATATGCCCGAAGCCCTAAGTCTTCATTTAACACCCTTTTCACCGTGGTTCTGCTTAACCCCATCTGAAGGGCCAACAGTTTCTGCTTACGTTTGGGATTTCTTTGAATTCGCGCCTTCACAGCTTTTATCACTGCTGGAGTCCTAACAGACCGAGGGCGACCACTTCTTGACCTGTCATCTACACTAGAGTCTTCATTGTATCGTTTGATGGTACGATAAACGAATCTTTTGGTTATATTCAAATTTTTCAGTATGTTAAAAATTTGAATTGGCGCGTAACCGCAACGATGCAACGCAATAACTGCAACACGGTCTTCTTTAAGCGTCCACTCCATATTTAAAAATGAGTAAAATTCTAAAAGTATACATTTTTATTTTCATGAACAATTCGAAATTCGAATTCAATAAACTTTTTTGTGGCCAGCATTCTAAAAGAAAAGTTTTTACTGTGTGACAATACTTATGACCTGACGAGTTATAACGTATTTAAGAAGATTCTTGAAATAATAAATATTTAATTTCGCAGATTATGGAAAAGCTGTCATATGTAATCGTTTCATTTGAGAATCATAAAACGCAAGACAGTTACGAAAAATCTTTGATTGAAAAGCAATTTGGATCGACGTTCGCTTTTAATTTTTCGTATTTCATCTTTCTTGGTTTTGTTAAAGTACGTGCCTTTTTATCGGAGTAAATAAATAGTTATGTGTTTATTCTGTATAATAATTAGTTTAATAGTGTAATGTTATGTTAAGAACTATAAAAGCCGTCGGGATAATCAAAGATTTCGATGCACTCGTATCTACCGATGTGACTATACCGGCGTTCAAATCGCGCAGGCGGGAAAGTCGACGTCACCCAAAACACGTCAGTTCGGATCCTCCCGATCCACTAACGGTGCTTTTAGGTACCTCAAGCACCGGTCATCGTTCTCGTCGAACACGTCCCTTGCGACGGAGGGTCGACGAGTGAATTAACCCACAGGCACAGCCCACTGAGTTTCTCGCCGGATCTTCTCAGTGAGTCGCCTTTCCGATCCGGTGGTAGAATCTGCGAAGCACGGCTCTTGCTAGGGTTCGTGTAAGCAACGTCGTCAGGTTTGAGCCCCGTGAGCTCACCTACTAGTTAAGGTTACTCTGAAATAGCCTCCCAAGGCTTAGGTAGGAAAAAAGAAAAAAAAGAGCAGGCGGGTGGCCTTTTTTGGCGGGAAGATATAATTTACACGTTTTTACGAACAACTTCCACGATCGAAAGATCATCATCGTTTACTAATGAAAACAATTTAGAGAATTGCGAAATCACTGCATAGTCGTGAGTTCCGGTAAGCCAGGATAGGATAGCCGCTACGGAATACAATAGAGAATCCGACCTCACGTCTCTTCGTCCGCGGCAGAATACACGCAGTGATGTCTACAGTACTCACTTAATACCATCACACATCTATATAAGAGAAAAAAAATACATTTGAAGGCATACATTACGATTTCAATCGTATACTATATTTCTAAGTTCAATTTGATGAACATTCAATGTTCTCATTAACAGCTACATGCTACAGCTACACGCTACAGCTACACGCTACAGCTACACGCTACAGCTACACGCTACAGCTACACGCTACAGCTACACGCTACAGCTACACGCTACAGCGACACGCTACAGCTACATGCTACAGCTACACGCTACAGCTACACGCTACAGCGACACGCTACAGCTACATGCTACAGCGACACGCTACAGCTACACGCTACAGCGACACGCTAAAGCGACACGCTACAACGACACGCTACAGCGACACGCTACAGCGACACGCTACAGCGACACGCTACAGCTACACGCTACAGCGACACGCTACATCTACACGCTACAGCGACACGCTACAGCTACACGCTACAGCTACACGCTACAGCTACACGCTACAGCTACACGCTACAGCTACACGCTACAGCTACACGCTACAGCTACACGCTACAGCTACACGCCACAGCTACACGCTACGGCCACATGCTACAGCTCCACGCTACAGCTAAATGCTACAGCTACAGCTACACGCTACAGCTACGACATATGAATTGACATGAATAGTAAGTCCTATTTGTAGAAATTGAATTTGAATTTCCTATTTCATTTCTACAGGGAAGATTTTACACGTTTCCGTATGATATCGAGATGTGGAATTCGATTGCGGGCGTCGGTGTTATGAATTGCGGTGTGTTTACTTGCGTTAACGAAATGTGCGTGTTGCTTATCGTCAATGTGTTGTTCAAGAGCATCGTCTTTAGTGGTCTCTCGTCTTTATTTAGGTAAGTAGATCTTATATCAATAGGTGATATCGAGGGGTGAAAGGCTATATCGTTTAAGGGACATTTTTACAGGACAACTTTACAACTTTACAATTACAACTTTACATTTTTTCGGGGACAGCTTTACAGGAGAGCCATTTAAAGTTTAAAATTAAAACATTGAACTGTTGATGCTAATATCAAATAAAATGCATCTTTAATTTATAAAGATAAATGTCGCGTATTAAGCCAAAAATAAAACCAAATAGTCATTCACTCCTGAATATAGATGTTGGTTGTACGTATATATACTAAGCTCGGATGGTTAGGTCCTTATTTGTGACATTTATTGCTATTATTGGATTATAACTCTAAATGAAAGAGCTTTGAGATACTCGTGGCCTAAAGGAGAAGACGCCTGGTTTGGTTGTATCGAGCGATGAGACTAAGGCAGTGTTATCCGATATACTATTTTTTCTAATAGAATATGTTTGAACGTAACTAATGTTCATTAGCAGTTCCGGCACAATTTAACGCTAAATGGGCAATAAGCTTGCTAGTAAAAAGCTTACAATTAAAATCAAGTAACGAAATTAATTTTGCTTACTTACCCCTTAATGCTTACTGGCGTGCTCCCGATGAATTCGACATAAACTTATTCAATCGTTCATACTACTTTTATTGAAATTATCTTTCTTTATCATTTTTACTTATCGTCTGCTTTTAAAAAAAATCCTTGTGTTGATCGAATTCTTCGTAAAAAAGAATTAATCCTTCCATTTCGCATCTATACTCTCCAATTAATTTCCTTCAGTGATTTCGTCATTTATAGGCAGTAGCTGCTTTTATTGATACCGTGTCCAGTGGTCCTAGAGTATATTAGTTATCAAACGAACTGGACCAAATGATAGGGGTTTCATTTTTAGCAATTGAAATTGAAGAAAGCGATTTCAGTACAATCATTTTTCAATGAAATTTTACAACAATAGGTGTAGGACGGACTACAATAAAACTAGAACAACCAATGCTAATGTACCATGCTGGGAAAGAGAATACATATTAAACAACATTGGCGAACAGTTTTACATTAACCAATTTAAGGATCTTGGTTAGTTATTTTTTTTTTATCTTACCTATTATCAAATTTAAACATATTTTTCAGGTCAGAGGATGTTAGATGATAATATCAGAGTTTAAGCGAACGGTTAAGTACTATTTCGTAAAGCGTAATATTTCGGTCATTTCGAATTATTCCTACTGCTCACATCCCCATTTTTTCCTATCAAAAATTAACACTGTAGAAACTTACACTTGTAGGTCCCTCCCCGTTCGGATATGCAAAGAATTTTATTTCCTTTTTATTGCCTTCATAGACTTTGATATAGCCTAGGTCATGGTGAGTGTTCACAGTCGCTCATGGATCCCTATAGCCTGTGCTTTGGTGACTACTTAAATCCTGGACACAACACGCTGAAAAAACACGCCCGGAAATCGTGTACCCAATAAGTGTAGTATTGGGAAGCTACAGGTTGAAGAAGAAAGAAGAATAATTGAATGGCATATCAGTGCACATAACCGGTGATTAAGTTCGACTTCATCTCTTACAGTATTCAGTTTACAATATCTAAATAATAAAGTGTGTAGAGTACTTAATTAGTGCCTTATGTCATTGCCGATCAAGAGTTGTAATCTAAACAAATAAATTAAATAAATAATACAATTAACTTAGGGTATTTACTATTGAAAACGTTATTCGAAAAAGCGGCGTGACACGATAACCCTCTAATTACCTAACTGACTTAGACAACAGAGTAACGCAAAGTCGTCGTCTTCTTAAACATGTCTTATTGGTTCCTCTCGATTAGCTCTCGGTGTTTTTAGGCTCTCCAAGCACCAGTCACCGCTACACCGTAAGAGTTCGTCGTGCAGTAATCCCACAGACACAACCCACTGAGATTCTTGACGGATCTTCTCAGTGGGTCGCGATTCCAATGCGGTGGTAGAAGCTGTGCTCTTGCTAGGGCTAATGTTAGCAATTCTCTCAGGTTGAGCCCGTGAGTTCCCTTGCCCTTTGCGAGTAGCTGGAATAGCCTCTTAAGCTACCAGCGAATAAGTAGGAATAAAACAAATTTGAAACCGCATAATTTCTAATAATAAAATTTTGTCTTTTGAATCAGCTATTCAATTTGCCATGAGTGTACTATTTGTTGGTGCTTTTCCTCTTGCCTCAATTATAATTTTAATTGGAAACGTGCTGAAAATGAGGTATGTTTATCCAAAATGTCGCTAAGAGCATATGTATTTTTTTTTAAGCATTTTATGGTGTATTTTGACAATCTTCATACTGATTTAACTAAAAAACAATGACGGTGATATGATTTGAGGCTTAATGTTCATGAATGTACGTGTGATGAGTATTTGTATGCAAAAGTAGACGTGCTTAGACCACTTGCACAATAACACTTAAAGTCAGATTATTTCACCAATTTGTATGTATGCCTATTGGCCCTAGAGGATGATAATAGTGCCTTATCAAGTAATACAGCTATGAGATGCTGACTTTCGTCTTTTACGACAATTTTTCCATTATTCTTCGATAGGTGTTATGTTTTTTCTATTCTAGTCTACATTCAAGTTTGAAGGATGGTTTAATATTCAATTGTTTTACAGATATAATTCGTGGTACTTTCTGTTGGGAAGCCGACGCCCGTTATTACACGACAGTTTGGGAATAGTTAACTGGCGGAATATTATAACAGCGATTGCTTTCGCGTCTGTTATTTCTAATGTACTTATATTATTATATTATACAGTTAATTTTGCAGGATTTTATACTTTAAATAATAACGGTAAATAATAACTATTGTTCTTAACTATGGCATATACGGATATGATGGAACAACAAATAAACCAATTGTAGATTTCGCTTAAGTATCTAAGGTGTTGGTAAATATGCAGAATATTCTGTATGCTAATATTAAATGAGAAATTGCTTATCAGATAGTTATATAGCTTAGTAAAAGGTGTATAAAAGCATGTGAACAAAAATTGAAATTTGCTTGAGAAACTCTACTTGGCTTACGTTATTATGTATTTAATTGATAATATGATCAGTTAGCTTGCAAAGACTGGGCGCGGCTCACTGATTTTAACAATATGCACCTACCATTATTTCCCATGTAAATTCTAAATTCTTAATAGGTAGGTCTTTTTTCTCGATTTTCACGAGTCGTGGACATAATTAAAAAAAGTACATTTACGGGTTAACACCTTCATTGCGTGACAGGCCCATATCGGCCCGCCGCGGTACTTTCAACTTGGGAGGAACGAAGAAAACTATGTCCGTCTCGCTGGTGCGGAGCGATTATTTGAGGTGTTTCTAAGATTCGACACCGACAATCATATTCTATAAATTGTATACAGTATGTTTTCGCAAAGTTATAGCATTTTAATTTACCCTAGTGATGGTGCGTCGAGAAAAACCTGCCACGCACTGGTGAAAATTCTTTATTTTTTTATTTCATAGATGTGTGTGTGGACGAGCTCACAACTCACCTGGTGGTTACCGGAGCCCATAGACATCTACAACGTAAATGCCGCCACCCACCTTGAGACAGTTACAACGGGTTCCCTCACCCTTCAAACCGAAACGCATTACTGCCTTACGGCAGAAATAGGTAGGGTGGTGGTACCAACCCGTGCGAACTCACAAGAGGTCCTACCACCAGTGAATGAATATCGTTGGGGGCGCATTTCGATCCGCCGCAGCACCAGACCAAGGCTTATTATATTACTTTCCACGAAACGGACAACGGAAATAATGCGTGTAATGATAATAGTAGACGCGAGATTAAATCGTATACCCACTTCGATAAAGCGACACGACACGAGAACCCTCTCATCGTGGCTGCCGGTAACTACATTCCCGATCCTGCGGAAAGAATGGAAAGCCGTCGACGTCGCCCAAAACACGTCATTTCGGATCCTCCCGATCCACTAATGGTGCTTTTAGGTACTTCAAGCACCGGTCACCGTTCTTGTCGAACCCGTCGCTTGCGACGAAGGGCTCGACGAGTAAATTAACCCTCAGACACAGCCCACTGAGTTTCTCGCCGGATCTTCTCAGTGGGTCGCGTTTCCGATCCGGTGGTAGATTCTGCGAAGCACGGCTCTTGCTAGGGTTCGTGTTAGCAACGTCGTCAGGTTTGAGCCCCGTGAGCTCACCTACTAGTTAAGGTNAAATTAACCCTCAGACACAGCCCACTGAGTTTCTCGCCGGATCTTCTCAGTGGGTCGCGTTTCCGATCCGGTGGTAGATTCTGCGAAGCACGGCTCTTGCTAGGGTTCGTGTTAGCAACGTCGTCAGGTTTGAGCCCCGTGAGCTCACCTACTAGTTAAGGTTACGCTGGAATAGCCTCTCAAGGCTACCAGCTTAGGTAGGAAAAAAAAAAGTCGTATAGGTATTATTTAATGCCATAGATACTTAATTACTCGTGCTTTTACATGATTGCGTTCCTTTAAGGTTCTTATGATGGTGCTGAACACGAGAACGGCTCAAGCGGAATTTTACGAATGGTTCGGTTATCAATACAATACTGATTGGGTTTCGTTTCATTCAACACTGTTCGACGTGTCGGTTCGTTTCCATTGTTTACGTATTTACGATTCCGGTATTTATTGTTTGTTGGAAACGTTCTTCAGCTCGTATGTTATCGTTCTGTAAAGAACCCCCAGCCTGTTTGTCTTTTTTTTTTAAAGTAATCTACACTTTACTACTTGTTCTTTAAAAAAAATTAATTTACATTTCGTTACGGTACTGATTGACTCCCAAATTCTCAGTTGGAGAACTGTATTGCACGCAGTCTAAATATTGCTGGACTTTTAACCTTGGAAAATAAAATGAACTAAGTAAAAATGCTAAAACTGCATTATAAGTTTTGTTTTTTTATTGCTTAGGTGGATGAATGATCTCACAGCCCAGCTGGTGTTAAGGGGTTGCTGGAGCCCATAGACTTCTACAACGTAAATGCGCCACCCACCTTGAGATAAAGGTCTCAGTATAGTTACAACGGCTGCCCCATCCTTCAAACCGAAACACATTACTGCTTCACGGCAGAAATAGGCAGGGTGGTGGTACCTATCCGTGTGGACTCACAAGAGTATAATGTAATTATAATCGCGAATAAAACAAAAGTTTTTATGCTGAGTGCACCATAAGGGCATTTATTTATACAGGAGTATTTATTTATATATTTATTTATACATAACAGTTCGTTCGTTCATTCGCAGGATTTCACTAAGAATGCGATCGTGGCTAAGGCCTACAAAAAATATAAAGGTTTTAAACCAAAAAAATGTATTTTTCCCGGTGAGTTACTTTTTTTCTGTTTGGATTTATCGATACCCCAGGCACTTACCCGGATTATCATATTTTACATAAACAGATCTCTGTATCTATTTCCATTATCATCTGGCGGAGCTTCCAAATTTAGACAATTTGCCTTTGAACCGTGATTTCCCCATTCTCAAAACGCGCCTATGCTACGCTATTGCTTCTGTTAAAATGCTACTTGATGACTTTGATGTCGATATCACACACACTTTCCCTAATGTGCTAATGACTACCGAATTACGCCACAATATGAATTACTTAGGTATGTACTTATACATAAGACAAACATACAAAGAAACATTAAGGACGAAATTTTTTAAATTTTTAATTACAGGACGAAAACAAATGTACAAAGGGAAGATGACACCTTTGATATACGAAAGTAGATCTAAAAATACTGTGATGCAAAAGCTGATTTTGTTTCAGGTTACAAAGTATTAATTTCTTTAGATTCCAAAATATTATAATATATTTCAGCGCTACACGATCAGTAATATAGAAATTAATATAAAAGTTAAGTTAGGAAAGGCGAGAGATTTATAATCGCGAATACATATTATATAGAATTTATTCGTTTAATATGACGTGTATGTTGCAGAAAAATAGAAATAATTACGAATTGATCCTACCATTATAAGATTAAGTTTTGTTTTATGACAGAGCCAAGTTGCATTTTATTTCCTGAGTTTTTTCTTTTAAGTAACGTTTTAATTGCGATGGGGTTTCATGATAGCTCAAAGTACTTATCCATTTATTTATTCTTGAAAATTACGGGTTTTGAAGTCTCTGTGGCCTTATAAGTACGACGACCGGTGTATGTATAGTATCGCGAAATGCGTACGGTTATGCGGGGGTTCTCCTTTTACGCAAAAATGAAAGACAAAATTTATAAATTTGCTGAATTGGCGGTGTTGTTGTAAATCCGTACGGGTAGGATCTATCACTGCTTGTGTTACGGTTTGAAAAGCAATTTGGAAAAGCAGTCATACCATAAAACTAAGACGTAATCGCGATGTCTCAAGATTGACGGCTTCATTTGCTTTCTGAATAATATATTACTACCAAATTTACAGCATATCGCCATTATATTGGTGTCGGCAATAGTTTTCGTCATCAACAGAGATTCTAAAGCAGTCACCGAAACTGTGGCCATTGAAAAAAGAATCAAAGAGCAGTGCTATATTCGACAAATCAAAAAGGAACCAAATCAAACAATTTGATTTTTTAAATATTTGTTTTTGTTGTGATTTCTAATGTTAATAAAATAAAATTTGATAAAATATACCGTAATTTTATTTATTTCACAAAACTACTAAACTACATTAAGTTTAATATTAAATCTTAAAATTAACCTTTTTATTAGCTAACTAGTCATATCCAGTCCGCTTTGGTAGTCGATCTATGGATTGAATTGAATTCGATGGCTACCAAAATTCACAGATTCACTCGCTCGGCTAATTTAAAGATTTCCTTTAAAATTTCATTGAAATCGGTCCAGTCATTTCGAGGCATAAGAAACATACATCGACATTTTTATAGATTGGCGGTGGAATAAATAAGACCATGAAAATAATGCTGTCTTAATGAAGTAATTTTAAAAGTATTTTATGATGTGTTTTTGTTAGATACGAGGGATACGCGAGTGAAACACTTGGCTGCTATTAACACACTGTCCTATATTTGTTGTAATACCCCGTATGCGTAGGCACACGCACACATATTTAACATTCCTCCCCTTAGCTTAGATATATGTACATAACTACTCTAAACAAAACAAAAGATTATACTAAACTTAAAAAGAAACTTATACTAAAAAAACTGCTTATAGTTAACCCTAGGCCGATTGCGTTTATTCCGTGATGTAAACTCAGGTCTGCTGGCGTTTTGTCGTGCGGGTATGCCATCAGAGCCTTCTTCGACAGACGGGTCTGGTAGGGCCTCAAGAAATTCATCCNTCTATATTACGACAACACGATACACTACAGATTATTAACAAATTAACGAGACACAAAACAAACGACTAACAAATATATGAAAATACAATAATGAGAGAAACGCGCGATCAGTACGAGGCTTTGTGGCGGACTGCCGGCGCAGCAGCCCGGCGTCACCTGCAATAACGCGGCCGCGCGTTACGCATAACGCATTTCGTGTGAAATGCTAGTACGATTTTGGTCCCCATAATTTTCATACCCCGGGCCTATATATGTAAATCGATTCTAAAGGAGTAAACTCCAAAAATCACACAAACTCTGTCCTGACAGTTCGAAGAACAAAGAAAAATTCAGCCAAATTCTCAAGAATTCTCAATGTATGTAAATTCTCAATGTATGTTTACATAAAAGAGTCGCTATAATATCCTCTTTGCTGTTGCCTGTCAAACAGAGTAAAATAAAAACCCAAATTTTTGCGTCTTACGCTTTTTGGTTTGGTGTTAATTACTGTGCATTTGTAATAATAATATTATTTTACAATGTGTATATTCTTAATTTGGAAATAATATAGTATTGTGAGTTTTACTTATCCATAATAATATTTCGAAATGGACAGAAAATACTGTCGAAAATTTAAATATTTCCGCGACCAAATCGGTGTGCCACCTGAGGTCGACAATAATGTGAGTATTCGAAATAATTAACCCATAAACTGAAGATTTGATCTTTCTCAATTAAGAAATTATTTGTTAGTCTCCTATTTTTTTGGTGGCTTTGACGAGAAGCGGTAAACTAGAACAAACATTGAAGGAGCTGCGCTGCCAATCATGAAATTTGAGAATACAATTAATTACGACAATTATCCTACACTGCGTTAATATTAGACTGTGGCATCCAATTGTGCCGGTTTGAAATATGTCCTAGCACAAGTAGAATAACGATCGATATGCAACAGATTTTCAGCTATAAATTTGGTATTATTCCTATGATTATTTTATTATTTCAATGATAATTTTGATTATTATTAATTATCTAATAATACAATTGGCAAATAACGAAAATGTGGATATCTAATATAGTACACAGTGTAAGATTATTTACAATTGCAAAACGAAGCATTGCTGGAAATCATACTTAGCATAGCGATGGTGACCACACAATCTTCCATCGCAAAAAAATTAATATCGGTTTTTAGAACACCGTAGAGACTGAGGAGAATGAAGATAACCGAGCGTGTCATAAAATTAAATTGTACAAATTCAATTTACTCAGTAAATTTACACAAGTCATTGATGAAACACCCCAAGAAACACCACCAGAACCAAATGTCGAGGAGGAAATAGCTGTTGAACCAACTGATGAAGAACAGGTAATGAAAATGATGATTTTTAAGTGTTTAAAGCTTCTCAGCGTAACGGTCTCTGGACGTGGCACCCCAATTTTTATCAGTATTGTAACTGAATCACTGTTAATCTATTTTTTATGTTCTATCAATTTTAGTTTGAAACACACTCTTTTACCGGAACATTCAGAGACGAAAAGAGGCGGATTGATTTAATGCTGGTGATACCTGATGATAAGAATCTAGAAGCGGAGAAGATTAGAACTAATTTTCTTTTGAATATTATTAAAGCAGGACTCGAAATCGAACTTGAATATGGCTTAGTGAGTGATCTCTGTCTTCTACAATCCTTCTACGTTTACAAGAAATTGTAAACTGAAATTAAACATGTACTTAAATTTTAGATGGAGAAACACAAAAATCTTATATTTGTTAAGATTCACGCTCCTGATATGTTGCTTGAAGAATATGGAGAAAAATTAGGTGTGAAAAAATACTTCAAAGAATGCCATATAGAGTACATTCCATTAAAAAGAATATTTACCAGGAATTCAGAACGAGAATGGATAGAACTAATACGGTTTATATTATTTAATCGACTATTTTTACCATTTTTATTAAATTATTACATGAAATGAATAAAAATTATTAACTAATATATTTTAGAAGCTCTGGAGGAGACCTTCATCCTCACATAAAAGCGGTTCTTGTATGCCTGCACGCTAAATTAATAAAAACTTTTTTTATATCTATTACTATAATTTTATGAATTTAAGTGATCCGACTAATATTATATATTATGTATTCTAATTAGTATCTATTATTATTAATGTACTAGCTGTACCCGTCCACCCACTCTAACCGGCGCCATCTAGGCGGGCTTCGGACAGTCTGCCGACCGAGAGGGCTGGTGGTCATGGCGCCGACGACCGCCAGTCCGGCGTCCCGAGGGGGAGGGTGATGGGAGAGATGTGCTCCGCACTAAACGCTTCACTTTCCCCCCTTTGCCTTGTCATGAGTTCTGTCTCATGCGAGGTTTGGACGTTGGTTGTTGAGCGACAGGAGGTTTTAGTCAGTTCGACTCTGACATACCCCGCCCAGTATCCCGTCCGCTTCGCTGGGCATTTAAAATTAACATTACTATTTCTCACCCCCATAAAGATTCTCATCATTAACGCCCCCGCAACTGGTGTAGGGAGTCCAACGCTCATATAAATATTAGCCTATCCATTAAGTTCATGTATTTTCTACATGGATACCAAGTTTCAAGTCAATCTGATGCACGGTTAAGTAGTTATAGCGGAACATCCGTAAAAACCACTGTAGATTTATATATTAGTATAGATTATTAATAATCTGCATAAGTTTTGTATCGTAGCTTTTTAGAAATAAAAGGCTTTTATTATTATTATATTTTAGGAGCAACTACAAGAGCCCATTGAATTATTCCAACCACGAGCGGAGCTTGGTTGTTTATAAAATTTTACTTCAAATGCGATTCGGGGAGCATCAAAACAATTTCGGTTTACAAAGGTATTTAAAAAGTATTCGACGTTCATTAGCAAATTGCCGCAGGTACAACTGTACCACTTCCAACGGCAAGTTGTAGTAGGCACAACTATTCCACTTCTATCGCCAAGTTTCAGTAGGTATGTACGTATGTAATACTTACAAAGTTATCTTTTTAGATTACTGAACATGAATATTATAGCAGATGCATACGCTTTACATGATGGGCCTTACTTTCTCACACGCCGTCAGGATTTCTCTAAAGTTAACGGTCGGCAAGTGAGTCCTTGGATATCAATTTTCAACACAATTACAACAGTTGATTTTAGCTTCTTATAGTTTTCTAATAGGCTTCTATCACAAAAAGCAATTGTAAGATTTATTGCGGGCAATGTTTGGAGATGAGGAGTAGAGGACAGGGGGCTGACACAAAAGATCCCAAGGGGCGAACTCTCATTCAATTGCCTAGCTTCTAAAATCAGAATTAGATAAAATATGTCTGTTTGTCTATAAATACCGTGCAATTGGCTTAGGAAATTTATAAATATCATTTTATCGTAATAACTTATATAAACTTGTAGATTACTTTAAGGTGAGCTCTTTTCAGATATTATACTACAACTGGACGGGACTCTGTAATATATTTAAACTACAACCACTCAATGTAATAAATGAATATTTTGGGTCCAGGGTAAAATTTACATTACATACTTTAGTGATTAACTAAACTGCGAACGGTTTCTTTATGATAATTTCTTTTTCAGATAGGATTTTATTTCGCCTTTTTGCAGTTTTATAATCTAGGTCTCTCGATAGCCGCGTTGGGAGGAATCATTATTACGTTGCTTGGTATCTTTGACAAAACATATGAAACTGTTTAGTAAGTCAATGAATTCTAATTCACATGTTGGTTTTACGATTCTTCTTATGCTGGGGCTACATTAGCGGGCTACGACGGTAAACTGGCGCGTATCAAAGAGATTTGTCGCGACAATATTCGCTTGGGTGGCTACCCCTAAGTCACTTCAGGTTCAGTGTCGTCCGGACTTTGATGCGGTGCGAACGTGCTTGTTTTCTTGTACACCATGGAGTGGAGTAACAAAAAAGTGTTGGAATTATTTCAATTGTATTTAAATTAAGTCTCTGTCGCACAGCACACTACAACACAACTCGGCTCGATGTATCGCGTCAACGCGACACAAATCTTAGCCCACCGTAATGTAGACAAGAACATTGCGTATGCCCGTAAACGATGTTTATAGCGCGCCAACGCGACACGAATCTTCGCCCGCTAATGGTCCCAGCATTAAAAAGAAATACGTTGTTTTTAAGACTTTTTACTAGTGGTAGGACCTCTTGTGAGTCCGCGCGGGTAGGTACCACCATCCTGCCTATTTCTGCCGTGAAGCAGTAATGTGTTTCGGTTTTAAGGGTGGGGTAGCCGTTGTAACTATACTGAGACCTTAGAACCTATCTCAAGGTGGGTGACGCATTTACGTTGAAGATGTCTATGGGCTCCAGTAACCACTTAACATCAGGTGAGCTGTGAGCTCGTCCACCCATCTAAGCAACAAAAAAAAAGAAAACATTTTTAATTGCAGAAATAAGGTTATGGTATGCACCCGTGCGGGCATACAAGAGACCCTACCACCAATAAATAAATATTACATCTATTTACTTTTTTTCTTTTTTATTTATTGCCTTTGTAGGCAGGCGAGAACATACGGCCCACCTGATGGTAAGTGGTTACCGTCGCTGATGTACGTCAGCAATTCCAGGGGTAAAGCAAAGCCGCTGCTTACCATTAAGTACTCTCCGCAAGCCTCGTTTGAAGAAGGGCATGTCATAGCGCTCGGGAAGCACCGTAGAGGGGAGTTCATTCCAAAGCCGGATGATACATGGCAGAAAAGATATTTGAAAATGAACTGTCGACTTACTTAATACCACTAAGATCTAGAGCTAGATTTAAAAAAATCTTATTAGACTTTTATTTCTTATGTTCAACTTCAGTAACGATTTCAATATTTTCAGTAAAGATGTGTGTCACGACAAACTCAACAAGACCGTGTGTCCTAGATGTTCTAGTTTCATTGGTTGTCCATTTCTCAATCTAAAGAAATACTATTGTTTCGGAACTAAGCTTGTCAACGTACTCGACAATGGCTATTTACATTACTACTGCTATTTTGTCGTTCTCTGGGGTGAGCGTATATCTCATTTTTTTCCTCTTTTTCTTCTTTTTTCTTTTTTTTTTGCTTGTTTTGGTGGACGAGCTCACAGTCCACCTGGTGTTAAGTGGCTACTGGAGCCCATAGACATCTTTAACATATATCTGTCGTGGATAACGACTTTTAGTAATATTAAGACGGTGGTTTTGACTATTATTTTAAATGATGAAATGTTGTTTTGATAAATATCACAAAAGTGTACGGTAGACTCCGTAACGCCACAGTATAAAATGGCGGTACGTGGAGAGAGTCGTGGCATTCCGTGTCAGACAGTCATTCTGTCCGTCTCAGTCAGTGAGTCTCTGACAGTCAGTCAGTCAGTCAGTCGGTCTGTCGGTATGTGGAACGAAACTGTCGGTTTACCCTGTCATTGTGAAAGTTGTGTGTGTTGCGTTTTAATAATTATTATTGAAAAGTTTTATTGACTAAACTGAGTTCAATCGAATACGAGTGATGACGGAAACTATCGCTTAGCCATCCCTGGCGCCTGCTGACATATCTAATATGTATTCTTTAGATGAGATTCGTGAACCGTTTCAATTACGTTACTGCAAGGAAACACCTAAAAGTTATTTGTCATATTAACCGAATTATACTGAAAGAGAAATGAACGCCGCACAATGCAACTTGATTATTTTAATTTTAAACGTGATAAATTTCAGGTCCAATATTGATGATTCTTTGGAGACGTAGAGAGATGTACTTGCTATGGATGTGGGAATTATATAACGTTAAGGAAATGGTTTCCACGAGGTATATTATTTCTAAAGTCTGTGATAGGCAGAAATGCTGATATCAGAAACAACTATCCAGGTGTGGTCAAATTATTGATAATAACAAATATTCCATGGGAGTAATGTCGTCGTGCATTCTAAATCGGAACCCACAATATATCGACTACATTCGTCTACAAATAAATATAATTTGAAAATAATACCGTACTTCAATACTAAATTCTAAATTTGTATAATTGAAAAACAAATCACTGTATGTCAATTTTTAAACTTTTTGAATATATTATGTACTATATTAGTGTTTGTGTAAAAAGGAGTTCAAAAGGTAAGTTAAATTTTGATTCTATTTGGTCGCTAAATTAGAACGGTAACAACGGTTCATACTTGACCCTTTTTTACTTTCATTTAAATGTCTAACACTATACATAAATATACAATAGACACAATACTTAGCTTACATTTTATTAAATTATTGATTCGTTTATACTAGATTTATACTGGGTGTTAGGAAACCGCTTCCGAAAACGAAGACAGACGATAGTATTAATGAGACCTTTGATGATGGGACGGAAAAAAAATCGATCCTGATTAGAAAAAAAAATATTTAAACGTTTTATTAGCATTATTTACGCTCTATCATGTTAGTACAGCTAAATAAAACGATAGTTTCATAAAAAAGACATTACTTAAATAAAACCAGCAATGAAACACAAAATCAAAAACAGCTGATGCTCGGATCAACGAACGCCTGTGCGCGGCGTTTCTTTTACACGCACACGGGCGCAGCGCGGCGAGGGTGCGGTGCTGATACCGCGCTCCCCAAAATTTACAAGTGTGTAGGTACAAAATTTTCGTCTTCGAAAGCAGTCTCCTAACACCCAGTATACATGTCCAATCAGTCTTAGTGAAATATTAACGTTAAATTTCAGACCAGAATTTTCGATGAATTATAGTAAACCGAATCAATCTACAGATACCGGATTATGGAAATACTATAACAGCGGTATCATGAAATGGCTACGCTGGATTTTATCCGCTTCCTTTGTTATAATATGTGTATGTATTTTTTTGTTTTAAAAATATTCGTTAGCTTAAATTCCGACGACTATGTATTAACTAAGAGGACGTTAGGTAGCGATGTATTCTCCGAATAAAGTAAGTTCCTGTCTGTATGTGAATTTATTAATTCTGTCGTAGCTTGTAAATGCCTGTAGATTTGAATGTATGGGGTGTCGTTACAAAGTTTTAAATCATCTTGAACGGTACCTGGCTATAATTCCTTTGGCGAGGTAGTTGTGACTTTGCTTTTTTAATTATTTAAATATATTTTATCGGAATATCTAGAATACGAGACTGAAAATTATGATTTAAAAGCTATTTAATTAAGAATATGTAGATGTTCATATAAATATTTTTTGCACTCTAAATTAAAAAGCGTTTTCAAATCATATACCTATTACCTAGTGTCTGAATGATTCTTGACTATTGTTAAAAAATATATATTTAAAATAATAGTTTTAACAAATCACACCGAAGCCGCTACCGGTGTGTGTAGGGACGTCTCAATTAAATGAAAAAGTTAACTGGTAAAATTAAATGACACAACTATAATAGGTGAAAACTATGACAGAATATCATATAACAGAAAGTTAATCCTTTTTTTTTTCGTACGTCCATTCAATAATCCGATTATCCAATTTCCAATAATCCAATTATCCAATTTAAAAAAAATGTAATATATATTTTTTTTTATCTAATATTAAAAAAAAAAAAGACATGCCCGCTGAGTTTCTTGCCAATTGTTCTCAGGACAGAGGCTAGTTCTTGTGAATTGGCGGTAGTTCTTTTGACGTTCAACAAGTATGTACTTTCATTTATGTTGAATAAATTTTTTTTTTATTTGATTTGTATTGAATGACATTTTTAGTACTGAACCGATTGTTCTTTTTTTTTTAGATATTCCTATCGTTTTTTATTCCAATCAAACTGGTTATCTACGAGTACGATACACTTTTGGAGATTTTGACTCCGGACAAGTTTCCGAACAGCTTCGAGAAATACATGAGAATATCCATTTTTACGATTATCGTTTTGACAGTAATGCTGTTGTATGAAATGGTAGGTTGCAATAAAATACACAATTTATGTATGTGCAATGTGACTTTTGGACAATTATTGGTAAATCAGAAAAACGAATTATTGACTTTGTATTCCATTGGCAGTCACAAAACTCTTCTGAACTACATCTTAGATAAATAACAGGTTAAGTATTAACCTTTATTTAATGCAGGTTTTGAACCGTATTCTTTGAAGGAGACGATTATATTCAAATCAATCTGTATTGACATATCAATATATATTTTTTTATCCAAATGCACAGATTGCCACCTTTGATAATAGACGACTCAATTGTCTCATTGAACCCTTTACTTTTAAAATAGGTTTGTCGCGTAACGGCCATTTTCGTGACAAGATTAGAAAATCACAAAACAGTCGAATCGTATGAGCGTTCTATGGCCATGAAACTGGTAATGATTAGTTTTTGTGCTACATTCCCGATAATGATACATTACTCTTGGTTCAAAGTAAGTAAAGTCTATAACTATTCTATTATATACTAGTTAAATACCGGTCCCCTTTGCTGGCCTATTTTTGATTTGATTTCCATACGGTTGCTATCACACTTCACAGAATCACTCACTAGGCCAATAAATGAAGATTTCCTGAAATACAGAGTCTATAGGGAACATACACACATCGACTTCTATGTAATATGTAGATTTTTTATCTACATTCGTGCATATACCATTATTATAAATTAAAACAATTACTTAAATAAAAAATAATAGTTTAAAAAAATACGCTTTTATAGAAAATCCAACTAAAAAATAGATTTTTTTTAAACTATTATTTATATACCATTTATCGTTGAATATATTTTTTTTTTTTTTTTAAATATTGCATTGTCATCCGTCCTTAATAAGTATGCCAAATTTCGAGTTAATCCGACGTTTTGAAGGGGGTCAAAATCGTGTTCAAAGATTCCGTTACATACTAACGTACATACGTCTGACGCTAATAAAAGCGTATTAAAATAAACATAGGCTGTGCAGAACCGCTTCATTTTTACATTAAGCAAGTCGCAAGATTGCAAAGGGTTTCACTGGGAATAGGGCATTTGGTAAACTTGCAGGAGTATCACCAACGCACACATATTTCTGCCGCGAAGTAATAATGTTCCCGTTTTTGAAATATGGCACAGCCGCTATACTAACAATTTACTGGTGGTAGGACCTCTTGTGAGTCCGCGCGGGTGGGTACCACCTATTTCTGCCGTGAAGCAGTAACGCGTTTCGGTTTGAAGGGTGGGGTAGCCGTTGTAACTATACTTGTGACCTTAGAACTTGTATCTCAAGTTGGGTGGCGCGTTTACGTTGTGATTTTTTTATTTTTTTTTTTATTTTTTTATGATTGAAGGATTACTGGTGGCCCGGAGGCCTTTCCAGTTTCACCAGGACAGGTGGGCGAGCAAAGGCTCAGCCAGGAGGGGTGGGATTTGCTAACAGCTACCCGAGCGCCTCCGAAGGAGACCTAACAGCTCAAGAGCAGCTGTTTCGCGAATGAATCTACTACCGGATCGGAATCGCGACCCGCTGAGAANTCGGCAGATGTACCACGAACACAGAAATAACAAAAGGAAACAAAACAAATAAAAACTTCCAGGAAGAGCACTTAGTCGGCAGATGTACCACGAACACAGGCCGCGCGAACAATGGCCGGGCTAACAAAAGCCGGGCGAACAAAGGCCGGGCGATCGAGTGGTCGATGAGCACGTCCGCGCGTGACGGGTGCCTCTATCGGAATGACGTTGTGATTGTCTATGGGCTCCAGTAACCACTTAACATCAGGTGGGCTGTGAGCTCGTCCATCTAAGCAATAAAAAAATTTTTAGAGTTTTGTCCAGAGGTCGATGCGAGGCATTCAGCTGTGATGTCTATGGGTAACCATTTGAAATCGGAGAGCCCTGAGCTCGTACACATTCCTATCCAATTTTTTGTATAAGACCTTGAAATTAAGAGAGAATGTCTAGTTACCGGACGCTGAATTCGACTTGCCTTTTGTTTTAATTATTATTCATAAATTGATGTGATTTGTGTTTCAGAGTAATCGTTTTTATGTACCTGGTCGTATATATACAACCCAAAAATTCGCTAACTACTATTTCTTGCGACACATGTACGCTCGCAACTGCGGTATTAATCCTTGTATTGATGATGTGTTCGTAGCACTAACCGTGTCCTTCCTATGTAAACAAATTTTGCCCAAATTTCTGTTGATTTGCAAGTTAGTATAGAACTTTATTACATTAAATGCCTGTTTATTATTCTTAAGGAAAGAAAAGTACTTTTTTAATTTAATATTTTCTCGTACATACATTCTGGTTTGATTTTTATTAAAGCTCGTATGTAAAGTATATTAAAATTATTTAGGTATATCGAGATATGACATCATATACCATAGGCCTATAGACACCAAAACCTGAATCTTATCTAAACTGCCGCACACAAGAACCTGAATTTAATTATCTGATTGTCAAATTCCGAACTGATCCACTGTTCGGTTGACACCCAAAGATCCGAAATTCACCGAGCCAATTACAAAAGTGTAATAAGATACTATTTCATTAAGCATTTATACGCAGGTGGGACATTCTTCAGTAAAACAGGGAAAAAATAACTTATTTTTCCATTTTTTTTATAGGAATTTATTTATTTATCAAAGAACTGATTACAATCAAGGCCGTAATATTAATAAGACGATCCCTTGCTGGGAAAGAGAGTACAGGTTGCAATCTATCACTGAGAGGACGCTGGCTTTGAAATACAACTATTTAGGTAGGTTAAATATATTTTCATTTCGTTATATACATATTATTCAGCATATTTTATGAGTTCATTAAAGTAAATTATTAAACATTAAAGTAAATTATTTCACCGTCAATTTGATCAATTTCAGCTTTACAATTCGGATTTGTTACACTGTTTGTTAGCGCTTCACCATTGATACCTTTGTTGGCACTTATTGTTAATTTACTGGATATAAGGTATGTTGTTGTTGATGCTTATTTTGAATATTTAATATCCATTTCATTTATATCTGAAATCTTTATTGAATGTTATTATTGTTTGTTGCGCTGTTCTTTGTACGCTGTTGCTTAAAATTAAAATCATTTTAAATATTTCGGATTCGTCTTCCCCAGAAGTCTACTAGATATTCCTGCACCTTAGTAACAGAAATCGACATCATTACTTCAGTGCGCCACGTAGGGCACCGGTAACCTTCATGGCAGTCAAAGGGTCTGGTCCTCATGAGTAATAGTAGGGCAGGCTATTAATTAATACAATCAAAACCATCTCGCGCGATATATCCGCGGCGAGGCTCTGGTATGTGCGTCAATGAATCGGTCATCGCGATTGCTCCCGTGGTTTTCATGTTATAGGTTAATGGTTCGTGTCAAAGACACAAATATGTTGTTGGGTTGATATTTAATAACTAACCGTGCTTAAGATTACATTGAAATAAAAAATTCGTACCTATGTTCAGAATTAATTCTTTATCACTTTGTCTATCGAGTTTCTTATTTAAAAACAGATATAACGCAAAGCAGTTTCTATTGGCTTCGAGACGAGCTTTATTGCTCGATCGTTCTGGTTTAGATATTTGGTCCAATATGCTCACCATAATATCGTACTTGTCGATATTGAGTAATGTAAGTACCTAGCTATTCGATGTCTTTTTTGTAGAAAATAGAATGTTATTAAAGAAGATAATCCAAACAAATGTAATTTTCAAATCACATTAATCATGAAATTGCCTAACGACTGCTCCACCCTTTATGACATGGATTCTTTTTATTACCTTTGTTGTTCGAGCTGAATCTTTCTATGATGTTCCCGCGTTCATGGGGCGCGTGGAATAATAATATGTGGGACATAGCTAGGTAATGTAAAATTATGTGATGCCCACAGACAGATTTCAGCCACAGAATCCCAATTCAGTGGCTGAAAACGGTATAGGTCAGGGGCAAAAATGTCAGAGGTCAATGTCGAACGAGGAAAATTGTCGCATTTGTATAATGAAAGATTAAATTTTATAAATCTGTTTCTACAGGCGGTATTAATGGCGTGGTCATCTCGGTTTATAAAAAGACGTTTTTATCTCAGTAACAATAATACTATGGATAATTTTTTTGCGTTTACCACAACAAGATTTGTTTCACAGGTTGGTTTTTTCCTCTACTTTGTTTAACACATTATTTAATGGGTTCACACCACGATTTTTACTTTTAATAAATGAATAAAATAATTCATTGAGCACTCGTTAGGTATGGTTAATACTTCCGTAGATTTTAGAATGAGTTCGCGATATTTCACGCTATTACAAGCATCATGAGCACGGGCAGAATTTTTCAATCACAACTTACAATCTTATCAATAACAACTTTGTTCTTATATATATATATTTGCCCATACAAGTCTAGTAGGTATAACGGTTTTTTTTTCAATTATCATTTTAAATTCAATTGCCATGAAGTTCTCCCGAATCTTCTCAGTGGGTCGCAATTAAGATCCAGTGATAGATTCTGCGAAGCGCTGCTCTTACTACGGCTAGTGTTAGCCAATACTCTCAGGTTGAGCCCATGAGCTCACCCACCTGTCCGGGCGTAGCTTGAATAGCCCCACAGGCTACCAGCGAATAATCTATATTTATACTAATATATATATCTATAGTTGTTTTTACGGATGTTCTTTTAGAACTACTGAACCATGCATCCGTTTGACTTGAAACTTGGTATCCATGTAGAAAATACATGTACGTAATGGATAGGCTAATATTTATATGAGTGTTGGACTCCGTACACCAGTTGCGGGGGCGTTAATGAGAATCTTTGTGGGGGTCAGAAATAATAATGTTAACTTTAAATGCCCGGCGAAGTGGACGGGTACAGCTAGTAATATATAATAATAGGTAGGGATAGAAAAAAATCATAAATATTTTGGAATTTGATCTCTATATTGTATAGGTCATACCTACTTAATGTCATTTAAGAATAAAAATATAAATATTGTTATTCCGTCTGCACATTTAAGTTACTGTCCAATCATATCGTTCAATCTGTAATGTATGATAACCGTTAGTAAATTCATTATTGGTTTATTATTTTATCTAATTAAATTTTGTAATAAACTTGTATATTGATTTTAGGATTTCTTGAAGTTGAGTACGATGTCAAAATCCTTTAAAGCCTACAAAGGATTCATTCCCAACGATTGCTACTATCCCGGTACCTACTCGTTTAATGATCTCTTGAATATAACTCGATTATCTAATCCAGTCATATGGACACATTTCTTTGCGTTGCAAATATTTCGGCATGCTTTCTGCTTTCGGCTGTATATTCTCGTCGACCAACCTTTAGACCAAAGAAAGACAGTATCCGTGCTACGCGGAGAAGATACGGTCCTGGGTTACAATGGTTTGCGGCCTGTTATGGGTCTTATTACGCTTCAATGCTTTCGAAGTCACGCTCTTGAGACAGGAGGTCTAAATCTCAGTTATGTAGTATAACGGCAGACCTATGCCTTCAAACCCGAACACATAACTGCCTTATGCTAGAACTAGATAAGGCACCATAATCTACCCGTGCGGCCATACAAATTTTAATATCCCCTGTTATAATTTGTTGTTCTTGATTTCCAATAGGTACCTACAGTACTTTGATTATATGAAGTTATTGTTTTAACAGGTGTGATGTTGTATCTACCTGAATATAAGGTGAAGTTTCCAAATTTTAACATCTTTTACTTTTATCCTAATTATGTTCCTTTACCGGAGCATTACCAAATAAAAACTCAAGAGAATAGTTCACTAATAATTTATGAGGTAAGAAAAAAAATCTCGATACTGTTGTACGTAAAGATCTAACCGTCGTAGATTATAAGGATTTCTAAGATATTTTAGCAAAGCATAAATTAGCTTACTTTTTTTCGTGCCCCCTATCATTTGACAATCGTCAATCATCATCAATATTTATCACCGCCCCAATTGATTTTTTCCGATTTCTATCCGTTTACTGCAGTTCGTCCCATTGGTATTAGTCTCATTTAGAGCTGCGAAATCGTTCTCCTATCTACAGCAAAAAAAACCTTAGGCAGGTCAGTATATTTTATGTGTTAAATTATTTTAAACTGTCTTATTTAATATGTAATTTTTTTACAGTATGTCGGGTTGATGGTTGTCTTATTAGCTCAATATTTAATCTCTGGTACATCGAAAGACGTTGAGGACACTATAAAAATAGAACGGAAACTGAAAGAAGCTTATATCACATACACAGGATAAAGCGTTTGAAATCTACTTGACAAAATAAATACTGTATTAAATTTCTTGTTTTGTTTGAATTGCATTTCTGTATTTCCGAAATGTACACATACAAATACAAACAAGAAATGGTTACGTATAAAGAATAGAATTTCTAAATCTAATTATTCTGTGCTTTACAAGATTCATGCCACCAAATAGTAATTTAAGGGACCTTACCGCAAAAGATGTGCGTGGCCATCTCTATTATAGTAAGTTTCCACTAACCATAATAGAGACATTAACTTAAAAACGTTTTATTGTATTCAATAGAATATCACCTAAATTGACATTGCGTAACACAGTTACAGAAACATTCGAATTGAAAAATTCCTCCTATTTTTAGCAAAGTCTTCTAACTATACAGATAAATCTGATTTAACAACTTTCGCTTGTGTTTCACGCGACAGATATGGTTTCAGCCTTCGTTACTAAAGATTTGGCTATATGGGTGGGGATTCATTAGCCTATTCACTGGACGAATCAAAAAAGTTTACGACGTTTGTCTCTAATCTATGTTTTTATGTAAACTTTGAAGACTCTATTGTTCAATGCTCACGGGAAAGTTTCAAAAATGAGTGACAATATGATTAAAATAGGAGACTATATTGTAATCCAAAAGCAGAATTTCAAAAAGCTTCACAAGTATAATAAGCCTAATTCTACTATTACCGTAGGAAGAGACAGTATTAATTTAAATGGCATTGAGGGGTGTCGATACTTTTCTACTTTCAAAATGATAAGTAAAAGTAACAAAAAAAACAGGGAATACACAGTGGAGCTAACTGACGAGGTGGTCAATCTGAAAGATGAGATTGAGATAAAATTATCTGGTAGTGATAATAGAAACATCGTTGATGATGGACTCTCACAGAAACTGACAGCTGCAGAAATCGAAGACCTGAAGAATGACGCTAATAGGGCTTCAGATATTATAGAATCTTTAATTACTAATTCAAATACCTTTCACAATAAAACAGAGTTTTCTCAGGAGAAGTATTTAAAGAAGAAAGAAAAGAAATATTTTGAATATTTACAAATATTAAAACCTAACCTAAGAACGATAGCAGAAATCATGTATAAATTAGAACCTGGTAAAGTTCAAAATTTAAGAATAGACACTTTGTCACAGATTATTACAACTGTGAATATTTATTGTGAGGGAAATCATTTATTATATGACTCTGGATCTAATGGTTTAGTTGCTGCGGCTTTATTAAGTTCTATTGGTCAAAATACTAATGGTAGACTAGTCCACATGCACCCTGGCAACATGTCTCAGAAACAAGCTCTCTTAGCTATGAATTTTCCAGAAGAACAACTTAAGAGATGTATTTCTGTTAATGTTTATTCTGCATTAAGACAATTTTATCAAGGTTGTGATACAAATTCAAATGAAAATATAAAAGAAATTCCTATCACAGAGTCAAATCAATTAAAAAGAAAATTAGTAGAAAATGACAATGAACCTAGAAGAAAAATTGCTAAACCTGATGAAGAAGTATCTGAACCAGTAATTGATGAATTAAAGGAAAACAGTAATAAAGGTGATCCAAAGATACCAAAATGGCATTTCGATAACATTTATGCTGCACAAATTCTTGAAAAAAAATTGGATTCATTGGTTATAACTTGTAAGGAAGATCCCCAAAATATATTTCTTGAATTAATTAATTTTATCAAACCTGGCCGACCATTTGTTATTTACTATAATGTATCAGAGCCATTACAAAATCTATACTTAGCTTTAAAATCACAAAGTAATGTTGCAGCATTAAAACTCACAAGCAACTGGATGAGGAATTACCAGGTAAGCTTCTTTATTTTAATTTTGTTATTATTGAACATCAACAACCATATAATTTATCAAATATGTAGAAAAAATCAGTAAGTACCAATTAATTTCACCTCTTAAACATAATTATGCTCAAGTAAACTAATAGAAATTAAGTAAATCACATTATACTGTGAACAGACATGGTAAACTTACTTAATACCACTAATAGAGTGCATGGCATACTGAAAACAATTTGATTAAAGATAAAGACCCTTAATCTATAATCAAAAACTATTTCCAATCATTTCATAATATAAGAAAATGCAGCAAAAAGAAAAATTATACTTAAATAATACACACTGACTGCACTATTAAAATAGATGATAAGCCTGAATCCAAGCAATCATCAAACTTGCATCAAACTTTATTATGCATATCTGTATATTGTACTGTCTATTCTATTTATTTATAACTTTTTGTAGGTAAGGGATCACACAAAAACTGACAAATTATTGATAATTATAACATAAAGGATACTACTTGTATGTGTAATTATGTTTTTTTGGTGGTCTAAACATGTCATTCAAGGTCAATATCATCAACAGTTGTTACACTGATAATAATATAAACATCATTGATGGCTTATGATTGTCTGGTTATTTATCTGCCTGTTGGAATAAATAAAACAATGTTCTCTAAGATGTTAATATTTCCACTGTTGTTCCCACAAAAAATATTTTTTTTCTAGCATGTCTAACAGCTCATTTTATCTCTGAAAGTTCCAAACTTTTAAATAATAATAAAATTTTCATTTGTTTTCACATTGTAGGTTTTGCCAGAACGAACACGTCCAGATGTTATTATGAATGGTGCTAGTGGGTATTTGTTATCAGGATATGTACTTAAATGAGAATTATGTTTGTTACAACTTTATATTAATAAATTTTTATACAAAAGTATTTTTTTTAAAAGAAACACATCTTTTGATACAAAATTTATTTAAATATTCTCAAGTGATCATAGATGATAGGGATTCATTTTTGTCTAAATGCATCAATTCAACACTGACATGCAATGAAGTGCAGTTGCTGATTTTATTTTCCATAATATTAAAGTTTAAAACTAAAATAAAATTATCAACCAAGTTAAATAAAATTGTTCTAAGATCTTAAATTTTTATTACTACAATGAAAATAAGCATGTATGATTTTAAATGTAAAAATTGCACAGTACAGTAACAAAGGTAAGTGAAGGAATGTAAATCAGTCAATGTTAACTATGCATTTGATGTTATTTATAAATGTAAATTGAACAGTGATTTATATTCGAGAGGAACTTTGTTGATGTGTTGCATAATTTTGATGAGATTTTCAAATTAATTTGGCACTTAAAATGTTTAGTTCCTTTTACTATAAGCTACAAAAGCATGGCTGTGTTAAGCTATAAAAAAGCTGCATTTTTTTCTATAAACATATTTTTGGATTTCATCCAAATACCCTATCTCGAATGTGATTAATGATATTTTAATGACATATATTCTATAAATGGTAATTTATTGTCAAAGCTTATTTTGGACGTGGATTCTTTCCTAAAATAAGTTACAAACTTATGAGAATCATATTTAACTGTAGTGTGTATGTTGTAATTGCCATTTCTATAGAGGAATGTAGTGATTTATGATATAAAAATAGCAGCGACTGCAAATTACATGACTACAAGCAATTCATATATATTTGAAACTTGAGTTCTTAACTATAAATATGAATTCATTCAAATCATTTATATAAGATATATTTTTGTATATTACACAATATTGCATAGAAAACATTTGTCATAAATATAATTTCATTAACCTAGATCATTCAATTGACTGCTCCGAGTTAAACCAAAGAGATCTTATAAGACTGCATAGATTTAGTTGATTCTACAACATATTGTACTTTTTTGTAAACAAGAAAGTAGTTTATAACATATCAAATATGAAACAGGGTGATATGAAGTAGCTTCCTATTATAAATTACAATTATTGCTTTGCACTGCCAAAAGCCATTGCACCACGTGAAGGTCGAAGTTACGACCAAACTCATCTAATTAACTAGGTTGTTGTAGAATTTTGTAAATCTAAATCATAAAAAAATCAAACCAAAAATATAATACTGCACCGGGTTTCGCACCAATTTTAAATAAATACACGATAGTTATATGCAGTACTTTCCGTTAATAATATATATATTGAAACTTTGGTATTGGTGTTAGTGTATCGAAAGGCATAATAATTATATTGCTATGATTGAAGGCTTTAGAATTAAGCTACAGATCGAACAACTGGGTTTGACACTGGTTTTAACGTGCGACGATGATGCTCGATGCTGACGCTTGTCGTCAGAAGCCTCATAAAGCCTAGGCGTAGACAAGGACACGTGCGAGCGTCGGCCGGCGCCCTGTGACGCGCCGTCAGGACGAGGGGCCAGACGCGCGGCGGCCGTCTGACAGCTATGAAGAGTCGTCGTCGTACCACGTGCGAAAGTCGCAACTCTCGTCATAGTCGTCCTGTAGTAAGATATTTGCGTTTTATATATCGACGCTTGAAAGGCAAACATGACTAAGCGACAATAACTGCTTTGTACATAAATGATAGGCAATAACCATATTCGATGCGCAAAAAATATATATTTCTAAGTCTATTAAAATCATTTCAATCATACAGCTACTAGCTAGATTCTACTACAGCTATATTCGTTAAAATAAATTTTGTTTTCAGGTATTTCAACTTTAAATTAGTCTACTGTAAAGTTCACGCATTGTCGCTTAGTCACGTTTGCCTTTCAAGCGTCGATATATATTTTTTTCATTCTTAATTAGAGCCATACACCTATTTTATTTTATTTTATGCTTAGATGGTTGGAGGAGCTCACAGCCTACCTGGTGTTAATTGATTACTGGAGTCCATAGACATCGACAACGTAAATGCGCCATCCACCTTGAGATATAAGTTAGTTCTCTTAGTTAGGTCTCAAGTATAGTTGCAACGTCTGCCCCACTCTTCAAGCCGAAACGCATTACTGCTTCACGGCAGAAATAGGTAGGGTGGTGTAGTACCTACCCGTGCGGACTCACAAGAGGTCCTACCACCAGTAATTACTTATTAGGGGTTAAGTCGCTTTTCATGTTTAACCTAAAATTATTTTGAATACTAAATGAAACGGGATAACTAACCGCCATCCAAACATGATCAAGAACGTCCTCTGCGGCGAAACGCAGTTCAGGTTGTGGACGAAGCATGTTGGCGACGAGGTCGATGGCCCCGGCCGACACGCGCTCCCAGTGCGGCGCGGGGAACTCCAGTCGCGCCGAGAGGATCGCGTCGAACAACTTCTCCTGGTCGCCGTCCGGTGACGAGAAGGGCGGGAAACCGCACAGCAGGATGTATAAGATCACTCCCGCGGCCCACACGTCGATCTGATCCAAACATAATGCTATGTTTATATATTATGTATGTACATATATGTATATACAACATGTAACATAATTAACGCACACCCTGAAAGTAATTTGTTCAGAATCGGAATCTGGATCGATTTTGATTGTTTTTTATGTACCAAATTTTTTTTCTAAAATTTAGTTAAAACTAAGTAAATTACAGTCACCCTACACAGCTAGCTAAACAGTTCATAGAAACGAAAATGGAACGTAAGTCAGGGTATTAAGACTTTTTAAAACGAAATATCTAATTAGTAAAAAAAAAATTATTTAATTAAATAAATCTGATACTTATTTCAAGGCTAATAGTCTATTACAAAATAAAATACCTACGCACACAATACCAACACCGACCGCCGGCACACAGCAACACTACAATACATAAAAGAAAACCACGTAATACAAAAATAATTACTATCCCTTTCTTTCGTCGGCTTAATATTCTTACAATAAACGGCAGGCTAATCCCGATGTTCGCGGCGACGCGGTTGCGTCGGCGGTGATCAAAGAAAAATCTAAACAACGAAGTCAACAAAATATTTTTGACAAGTCAGTCACGCCGCGTCCACCTTATCGATAAGAGGTCAAGTGATAGTGCAAATAAAATATCTCCCGTATTTCGCTATGTCTTTTCGGTCAGTGACCTCCTAGATCAGCTGATTTGACGCCTCTCGACTTTTTTTTGTGGGGGCGAATTAAATCGCTAGTTTATAACACACAGACAATAAGTGCCGAAGAACTAAAGAATAAGATAATAACCGCCTTTGATAAAGTGAAAAGTGACATTGCAGTATTATCTAAAATAAAACAACAAATACGAAAACGGTCATTAAAGTGCATTGAACAAGCGGCGCGGCGAGTAGGTGTCTGTGTGTGCGTGCGCAGCGGAGTGTGAATCGGTGACCATTTTATTTCCACGAAATTGGAATAACTAATTTCACAAATAATCAATGTTAACGCACATATAAATAATATTTGGTGTATGCATAGCGTTTATACTATTAAAGTCTAATTGGGGTGTTTGAGGGTGTGCGTTAAATATGTTACATGTTGTATATTATGTATGTGTATATTATGTATTTCACTGGATTGGTACACCGCGCGTAGTTCGTTTCCAAATGATTCTTGTCCACCTGATGGTTGTCTGGAACAGATCGCTCTTAGCGATAAAACCGCCAATTGTACTTTTTTGTGTTTAATGTATCGCACTGTTTATTTGTTTTTTGGTGTACAATAAAGAATACTCTCTCTCTCTCTCTCTCTCTATGTTTAACTGAGTTGCATATATAAGTTTTTTACACACCTTCTCACGTCGAGGTTCTCTACACAGTGATTACGTGTCCCAAGCGATCCATTAATGGACATGGCCGAACATGACTGAACGCTTTCGTAATGATATAGATTCTGATTACCACTAAGAAAAGTTTACAGGTATATGATATCGATAGGTAGGACAAAGCTGTATTACATACGTAATAAAGGTTAGAAATAATTTATTTTAATTTCATTTTACGTTTTAGAACTTAGCTCAAAAAAATATATTTTAATATTTTATTTTATTTATTTATAAAACGAAATAGGGTTTTAAATATATTCTTAATAAACGGCAGAGTGAAAGTACTGGGATCTTGTGAGCCATAGGTTACCTATAGACTATTTAAAAGACCAGGAAAAAATCCCATCAATACCTTATATAAACTTTATAATTATTTTTTTGCTCTCACGCTGTCATGAACTTGTAGTGCCTACTTGTACTCTGCATTCGGGACAGACTATTCTAGTTTAATTAGAGTTTTCCATTTTAATGAAGATGTATGGCTATACATACTTTGCGCGACGGCCCAAATAGGCACTAGTACTGTGCTAACTAGCTTATGTAGTATTGTGTATACCTTCAGTCCATATCCAGTTTCGAGGAGAATCTCCGGAGCAACATAAGTAGGAGTGCCACAGACGGCATGAAGTGGTCTCCAAACTTCAACTGCGAGACCGAAGTCGGCCAGTTTCAAGCCGCGGATACTTCCATCCGAACCCACTTCCACCTTCATAAACATAAATACACTAATGACATATCGTCTTCTCGCATTAAAACTGTATAATCTCAAAAATTAATAATTTGACAGGAGAGTGTTTTAAAGGTTTAACATGTGATATTTTTAATATTAATCATCTTTGCAACATTTTTTTGTTTTACCAATTACATTATCTGTCTTTTAAAGTTTTTTTTTGTGCCTATCTGCGATCACTCCTGGACTATGTCTTTTAAAGTAAGATAAAATTATGTATTAAATTTTTTTTATTGCTTAGATGGGTGGACGAGCTCACAGCCCACCTGGTGTTAAGTGGTTACTGGAGCCCATAGACATCCACAACGTAAATGCGCCACCCACCTTGAGATATGTTCTAAGGTCTCAGGTATAGTTACAACGGCTTGTTATAGTAGTCAAAATATAGGTAAACAAAAACAAAAAAAAACTTAAACTAAACTACGCTCTTTTGACAATATTTATAAGAAAAATACTGGTGATACCAAATGATTACGCATATTAACTCAATTTCGAATATTTTTGTAAATTGTACACTTTTAATGCGAAAAGACGATTTGTTTTAGTCATATCAATTTCTTTAATCTTAGCACAATTATAATTTAATTTTATTGCTTACCATATTAATCATATTTCATCATCTTGGAACTCAGTAATAAAGTGATTGAGTGCAATTAAATTAGGTAGGTACTTAATTTCTGTGGTGAGCAGCAATAATGGAATAAATTTTAGTGTTAGTGATATTAATAGCTTACCAAAAGATTTTCTGGTTTGATGTCACGATGTACTATGGAAAGCGAGTGTAGATATGCAATAGCTGATGTTAAATGGCCGATTAGCAAACGAGCTTGCGGTTCTGAGAATTTGGAAGCGACCGCGATACTATCGAATAAGTCTCCACCTAAAAATATAATTATGATCAAGCTATGTACAAATCGTCAGATTTACTTAGTTTATTATATTTCCTGGTAATAGTAATCGTAATATTATAATAGTAAATAAAATTCAAAGATTAATACTTTCAAATGTATTAGTGGAAAACAAAACAAAATTTAGGTGTTTTCGTGCGTGACGATATGTTTCAAAGTAAATATTGATTTAACTTATCATAAACACTGACTGCAAGGGAATCGGCATCGAAAACAGATTAGCGATGAGTTTTCTTTACAATAACAATAAAAAATGAAGTCTAAAAATTATATTTTGCGTTAATGTAATGTCACAACACATTCAGTAGACGTGCCGAGTCCGCGATTTGGTGTTAAGGGGGGGAACGTCTGTCATTGCCGTCGGTTTATTTCATACGGAAACGCGGAGAAAACTTGAATTTTCCATAATGTCAAGTACTTCTCCTTAACATACCGATTTAATATCGTTTTGGCTTCGGCAACGTATTATCACCAAAGTTAAGTGTATGTTATTGTTACTGTGGTTATTAATGACTTCATAAACCATGTTTCAAGCCTGATGAATGTGTTTTAAGTGCGGTTTTTTTAATTATTCTTTAATTATTATTTTAATATTTATATGGGTATATAAAGTAAATTAACATTATTTTATCACTTAAAACCTAACATGATTAGTTCTATATGTACTCACCGCTGACATATTCCATAACAAGGAATAACCATTCAGGACTATCTTGTTCTTCTATTAATGACACAATACGAGGGTGACACAGTTTTCTCATTACTCTCACCTAAAAATGAAGATATTTTAAAATATGTAACCACAATAAAATTGTATATTTAACTAAAACTTATATAAATATTGGTTCGATTGCAAAAACTTCGATATATTAAAAATCTAAGAATAGTTTTTTTTTTCTCTTGAAGATGCGTCTTGTGCATATTCATAATATGCCTTTGCTAGTTAAAAAATAATACCTTTCGTAATTATATTTAAAATTTATGGCCTTTATTGGTAGAAACTGACTAAACGCAAAGATCTTCTGCATTCGTAAAATTAAAAATATAAATCCAAAATATTTCTTTATTAACTCTTTTATAGAGAAGGATACGCCCTAACTGTGAGTGGGCACCGTCGATCATGAATATCACTAATAGGACACAGCCAAGCCACTGCCTACCGCTTACTCTTTCATTACTACTACCTACCTCTTTCATTATTAATACTGCCTACTTTTTCATTTGAAGAACATGTCATGGCGATCAGGGAACATCTCGCAGGGGTGTTAATTTCAAAATTGATGGTATGTGGTACGACTGATCTCTGAAAGCGCACCGAGGAATAACGTGGTAATTTCAGGCAGTACACAATGACATGATGCGCTGATATAACCACGAGTTGTATGATATTTACAAAGATCCTAATATCATAAGAACTATAAAAATTGGACGCCTACAATGGGTAGGACATGTAGTTCGAATGGAGGAGACCAGAATGCCAAGACAACTACTATATGGCAAACCGGAGGGCCGCAGACATCGTAGCAGGCCCAAACTCCGCCCAAACTACGCAGATAGCGTAGAGCACGATCTCAAAGTTATCCGTGTCAAGTACTGGAAGGAGAAAGCCCTGAACAGAGCAGTCTAGAGAGACATACTGGACCAGGCTAAGGCCCACCCTGGGCTGTAAGGCCTAAGATGATGATGATATGGTGCGCTGATAAAATGACCGAATTATCTAAAAGAATTCGTTAGAGTACGCGAGGATATTGTAAATCAGGACAACGACAAGAGAAGACATATGGCTTAAGCAAAGTCCCGTTTGCCTTTCAAGCGTCGATATGTACAGGATAAATCAATATCCGAATGACTAGAGGCTACATACACTACACAATCAAAATTTTCACTAAAAAAGAAAAATAAATTTAATAACGACTCACCTCCGCCTCAACGTAATGTTCTTTGCCTTTGCATTTCGCTTTATCAATAACTTTAAGAGCGTAATCCTTTCCGGTAGTTCTGTCTCTGCATGTCCTTACAACAGCAAAATTGCCGTCACCTGTACGAGAAGCACACATTTTAATATTATTGATTGTGTTAAGAGCCACTGCTTGTGATGTGATTTGGTTTTTTTTATTTGGGTGGACGAACTCACAGCCCTCCTGGTGTTAAGTGGTTACTGGAGCCCATAGACATCTACAACGTAAATGCGCCACCCATCTTGAGATATAAGGTCTAAGGTCTCAAGTATAGTTATAACGGCTGCCCCACCCTTCAAACCGAAAAGCATTACGACTTCACGGCAGAAATAGGCAGGGTGGTGGTACTTACCCACACGGACTCACAAGAGGCCCTACCACCAGTAATTACGGAAATTATAATTTTGCGGGTTTGACTTTTATTACACGATGTTATTCCTTCAGCGTGGAAGTCAATCGTGAACATTTGTTGAGCACGTATTTCATCAGAAAAATTGGTACCCTCCTGGGATTCCAACACCGGTGCATCGCTCAACACGAATGCACCGGACGTCTTATCGTTTAGGCCACGACGACTTCTAGATCTAGTACATCTAATTCGATCGATGACTGACCTTGTTCTAAACGTTTGAGCAGATTAAGGTGCACAATGACTAAATTACTATGTGATACTTAATTTTAAATTATTTGCTATCATATTTTTAGGTAAGCGCTTGGCTAATATTTAGTTTATCATAAAAAAGAGTATAGCACGCATCCGAACGCCAATTTAAACGATTAAAAGATCCAATAAGGGAACGTATGGAAATGACGTCGATATACTATATTATCATACCGATGATGCTTCCGACGGAGTACTTGAGTCGGAGCGGGTGCGGCAGGGCGGGGTCTGCGGGCGCGACGTCCGGCTGAACGTCGCCGCCCGCCCCCGCGCCCGCCGAGACCCCCGCCTCGCGCCCGCACTTCACGGGCATGCGGGGCTTCGGACCCGACCTAAAAAATACATGCTCATTACTTACTACTCGTAATTACTGTGGGTGACTCACGTGTATTTATTTATTTTATAATATTTTATTATAATTACACTACACAACAACACATACATACTTTATTTTATATCAACACATTCATTTATCACACAATCATACAAAACATTATAGACGAACCGGTCGTCGCATTTTACCGATGTAGTAGCAAAATATTATCGCCGCCGCTCTACTGCAGTTATCGCCTGACTTTGCTTGTAAATTAATTTTGTTTAGTGTAAATAATGTTTTGTATGATTGTGTGATAAATGAATGTGTTGATGTAAAATAAAAATAAAAAGATGCTGACAAACATTTCGAGACGGTAGTATATGGAGCAAGATCCAAATCTTCTACAATAATAGCCTATTTGGCATGCAAACCCGGACTACACAAGCAACTGCAACTACATTATGTGCATAGCTGTTGTATCTCTACCATATTTCACACAATTCAGAAATTATTTATATTCGTACTTGACAATTCCAAGACTCAGGACAGCTGAACAGAATCAGCCTAAAATTAACAAACAACCAAATCGAACCATAACACCTATAAAAAGTCTGTTGACCCTATCTAGTTGCAGGGTTGTAAAGATCGACTTTAATCATTTAAACCTCTTTTTATTAAGTTATTTGTATAAACATAAGTATGAAAGTTCAACGTCATTACTACAACTGTACTTCTAAATATTGCCTGCTTTGCCGCATAAAAGCAACAGGCTCTACCGTATGCGCAATACATGACTAAACTTCAAGTTACGTACTAAAAGCCAGAGTCTAGGAGCTTTAGTTTAAAAGAAACGAGAGGCATCACCGGGTTGATTAGGTTGGCAAATTCGAATGTATAAATATATGATTCACTCACCTTGAACTTCTTGTAATGGGAGTTTTTCGGCACTGGGATACGGCTTTATTTTCTTCAAATTCTAGTTCGAAATCTTCTTGATTGACTCTGAAATTAAGCTATGTTTAGTTTTTTTTAATTGGTGGACGAGCATCCACGATGTAAATGCGCCACCCACCTTGCGATATAAGTTCTAAAGTCTCAAATATAGTTACAACGGCTGCCCCACCCTTCAAACCGAAACGCATTACTGCTTCACGGCGGAAATAGGCAGGGTGGAGGTACATACCCGTCCGGACTCACAAGAGGTCCCACCACCAGTAATTACGCAAATTATAATTTTGCGGACTTGATTTTTATTACACGATGTTATATTCCTGCGCCGTGGAAGTCAATCTCAATATTTGTTGAGTACGTATTTCATCAGAAAAAATTGGTACCCTCCTGGGATTCGAACACCGGTGCATCGCTCAACACGAATGCACCGGACGCTTTATCCCTTAGGCCACGGCGACTTCAAAAATACACAGATAAAAATAAAAACACAGTTTATTTTTTAATATGAAATAAATTTGCAGACAATCCTGCGGTTACCAAATCTGTGATGTAAATTCTTGAGACAAAGATTTCACAATTATTTTTGGGTTAAATGATAAAATGTAATTTAATTTTATACCTCTCATTGCCATATGCAAAAAACACATCTTCCTCGTCGAAGAATTGATGCAGAGCTGTAACTTGAGTCCCAGACGATGTGAAAACTTTCCTTACACATCCCGTATCGAGTTTCACGCAATCCGTGATCGCAGCCAAGGCATGCTCGAGTGTCGGGCTATTACGTTTATTCAGCAATAGCCGACACACCTGAAACGTTGTTTTAGTTTTAGTCGCATCAGCACCCTCAATATATTTTCATAGGACCCTCAAAGTCACGGCCCACAAAATAGTAAGTTTTATTTATTTATTGCTTAGATGGGTGGACGAGCTCACAGCCCACCTGGTGTTAAGTGGTTACTGGAGCCCATAGACATCTACAACGTAAACGCGCCACCCACCTTGAGATAGAAGTTCTAAGATCTCAGTATAGTTACAACGGCTGCCCCGCCCTTCAAATCGAAACGCATTACTGCTTTACGGCAGAAATAGGCAGGGTGGTGCAATATATCGTCTTTATATAGAGACAATGCATTCAAGAATGCCTTAGTCGGCATTATTATTTATATTACGTTATTATTGAGGGGCATATGTAACATCCCCCTCCTTAAGATTCATCGTCACCGATGAATGGTCACGGACGTTGACGTTGAGATAAACTAGAGCGGTAAGTATAGAATTTGGCTTTTGTTTTGGATAACNCAGGTTTTCTTCCTTTACGATATTGATGATGAGAGCAGCGGCAATGAGCGCAACGTAGAATCAAGAGCTCAAGACAATCCGGATAGCCAGTGTAACGTACTGACTATCCCACTTCTGACACCACTGTTACGGGGTGGGTCCAGGAGCTCTTTTTAAAAAAGGACACGGCGACTGGCACGGAGTTTATTTTATTAAAGAAGTAGTACAAAGGATATATGTTTCCGCTACTCAAGCCAAATCTGTTCTGCCACGCTTTAGCAATATATCGTCTTTATATAGAGACAATGCATTCAAGAATGCCTTAGTCGGCATTATTATTTATATTACGTTATTATTGAGGGGCATATGTAACAGTACCTGCGGACTCACAAGTGGTCCTACTACCTACCTAAATAGCCTAGATGCCGACTGTAGCGCCATATGCCGGGCTGATTAGTGAATCTAAACATCCAGGGCGCCACCCAAACACATGCAAAAAAAAATCATTCAAATCGATCCAGCCAGACATACACACGTATAGTAGAATTATATATAATAAAATAACACGTGGTCATATTTTTTCCTAAAAAGTTTTGTTTTAAAAACGAACTACATATTTTATATATTAATTATGAATTATCTCGTGTTTTCGCGATTCGTAGAAAGTTAAAGTTTAAACTGGCCTTTATGATTCAATCTCGCTGTTATCATTTTCTACGTTACGAATACTATACATTTTTCCCGGAAAACGAAGCTGTTAAAATTAAATGAAACAATAAAATAATAAATCACAGATTAAGTCGTTAAAGTGATTGTAATTAACAATTTCAAATTTAATGAAATAGTTTTAATCGTAATAATGTAATGAGAAACCCGTTCACAAGATCATTATAAGGTGTTCTGTGAATAGTATGAGCAATGTCATCAAATTTGATCTAAAAATAGATTGTCGTTATAAGTTCGAATCAATGTATTTGGTAAAATTCAAGAACAAATCTGGTACACTTAATACAGGTTAGACCACTGTATTTTTTTATTTTGTCTATAAAACTTTACACAACAAGTGATATCAATTAAATGAATGATAAGTTGCAATGTTTTTGTGGACACGATAATTATTCAACGTTTATAAATTGCCTCTCAAAGGAAAACGAGCAAAAACGTGATTTAGACTAATCTTCAACCACCAGTAACGAGACCTAAGTCTACTAAATAATCAGGAACTTTCAATTAGAAACGAAAACAAAAATTGTCGTATAAGTATTATTATTAGCATTAGTATTAATTACTATCTTGTTAATCATTTTAATTATACGTAAGTTGCTTCTCCTTACTTATAAAGCTAATGATGATTCATCGCTAATGCACGCGCGAACTAGATATCAAGTTATCACGATAATCCGACGAGTAATTGACAAAATGGAGACAACTTATTTCATTATATATTTCATTATCAACATTTTGAAGCTAACGATGTATTTATGACCGTGATAGAAGACTTGGAGTTGTGAGCATGAGGTATACGTGTAAAATCCAACGTCGAGGCTAAGCCTAGTTAAGGCCTAGCTAAATATTAGAGGCAAGAGTCGTGTAAGTCGTGAACGGCCGCTTTGAACGCAATTTTTGACTTTAGGGCCGAAATTCCTTAATCGCGTCATGTGCCGCATTCGTGATATCTTTAGCCAAAAATAGTCATATCTCCAACTCGCACATGCGCCAGAAATTAATGATAAGCTTTACACTAAAAGGAGCTACTTGCATAAAATAAAAATGATTAACAATAAAGAAGAGAGTGATTGAACAATTTTTGTTGTCAGAACCTTTTTGACTGACAGTTTTTTTTTCTTAGTGAAAATGATTCCCTATTTACAAGACTTTTTTCCGTTCCTGTTCACTGGTAGCCCAAAAGGCTATTCCGGCTACGCCCGGACGAGTAGGTGAGCTCACGGGCTCAACCTGAGAGAATTTGGTAACACTGGCCTTAGCAAGAGCAGTGCTTTTCAGAATCTACCACCGGATCGGACTCGCGACCCCTTGAGAAGATCCGGCGAGAAACTCGGTGGGCTTAGAAGACTATTCGTCAATGAAGGTCGCGGTAGTGCCGCACATTGGGACCACTTTTGCTCATTGTCCTTTGTATTTTTGTAATGTATTCGATAAAGTTATCCCTATCTCAATATTTTGGGAGTCTTCAACAGAGCAAAGCAGTACTTCACGCCAATACCAAGGATTGTTCTTGACACAACACAGGTTAGGTCTCGCGTGAAGTACTCTAATGTCTAGACCAACGCACTCAAGTACCAGTCGTTTGTAACCTTGGGGGACTTTTTGGCGGGAACGCGAGGAGTGAAGTTTTATTGATTTGTTTTATTTTGTCTATTCAGTGTAATAACGGTGGTTTATTAACTGTTTAATATCTGTGAAAGTGCAAAAATGTGGGAAAATGAAACAAGGCCGCTGGACGTAACTTCTCGGGATCCTCCGAAAAGTCCACTGAAAAAATCTCAGTAAATGACCACCATTTCACTGAGATTATATTTCATCTCATTAAATTTTATCCCATTTGATTAATGTTTCAAGTTAATCATCTTCATTTCATTTCACTCCATATTAACAATTTTTCATAAAAATAAGAATATAAATTAAAATAAGACATGACCTAATTGGTCTCAGTTGCCAGGTCATAAAATTCCATAAAAAAAGTAACCTTGGGTGTAGAATGGACTATAGTTATTTCTATGTGTTTAAACAGGTAACATAATAATATGTATTACACAGATAACACATGTTTTATTCAGAAGTCAGATCTTTGTGTTATACAGATGACATATGATGATTACTCTGAGGCCCTATCTCAAATATTTCTGTCATCTCATATTGCTTCCTCACCAAAGTGTTCTCAGATATCATTCCCTCCATGTACCACCTAAGTTTTGGAATGCACTTCCCTAGACATTGTTTCCTGAGAGCTTTGTGATGAGCTTGTACAAACAATATTTGAGGAAAATCTAGTGGTAGGCAGTGGCTTGGCTTTTCTCCTGCTGTTGGATAAAACCTCGAGCGACATTCATACTCATCAATAGGTGAGCCGTCAAATTGTCTGCTTCAATAACTAAAGATTTTGGATTGGACAGGATTTTTTTTAAACTATACTGTTTAAGCTTACCTTGCGAGGCTTTACTCCGTTTCTAATAATAGTAACTAATCGTGGTCGAACTACGTTCTCACCAGCAGGACTGACTCGTGGTGTCCCGTTACCGGTAGTGCTGCTACCATTGGCCTAAACAGAAAATAAATCCAATATATAATATATATATTCCAATATATTTATATCTATACTAAGATATAAATCTACAGTGGTTTTTACGATGTTTCCTTATAACTACTGAACCTCGACTGCATCTGATTGACTTGAAACTTGGTATCCATGTAGAAAATACATGTACTTAATGGATAAGCTAATATTTATATGAGTGTTGGACTCCCTAATAATAATGACATTAAATAATAATGACATTAAATAATAATGACATTAAATAATAATGTTAATTTTAAATGTCCAGCAAAGCGGGCAAGTATGGCTAGATTTGTATATTTTAAAATTTTTACTGTACAAATACCTACTTGCATTTTGATAGAGCAAATAACATAACTAACTTTAAAATCCTTTTTCACTATAGCAAACTAAGCCCAACATGTTTTTTTGTATCAAAGATAATTTGCAACATGATTTAAGATTTATAAATTAATCTTTATACGATCCATGTCTACAATAGTTTGCTTAATCGCTCAATTGATAATTTTAATCTTTGTTGATCCAGTAGGATGCATCATAGCTGTTTTTAAGCAACCTTTAAATTGAAACCTTTAAAGCTAGGACCTATGGCTGATTTGTTAAGAATAGTATTAATGATTTTTTTGCTCAAAATTCTTTATGTATCTTTTACACATATGTAAGGCATATCAACCATTATAAGATATAGTTATTGGTATGACTAATGTTAGTATAAAGATTTATCAACCTCAATGAGATCAATGGTAACATGATACATCACAGCAAATCAGTATATGAAATGTAAAGAAAATTACAGCTTTACATATTCAAGTACTGACAGTTTTTGCTCCTCTGGTCTCATAGTCAGCAATGTTAATAAATAGAACCAGTTTGGTCCGCACAAAGTGACTTGAAACTATTGATATCTAAAAAAACAATGAACTTTGGCCTTTCCAACCTCACCAAGACAAGTGACAGAGCATGGATTTAGCCAGGAGAGGTGAGATTTACTAATAATTACCAGTGTATCAGAAGACTGTCTAATAACTCAAGAGCAGCTCTGATCAAACACTTCTATATGTTCAACTAGTTGAAATTTTAACTTACAGGCATACACCGAGGGGTTCTGTGATTTGCTCGTGCAGGAGATGGACTCGAACTATCATTTAATGATTCGGGGCCACTCAGTCTAAAAGACTGCGGTGTAACGGCACTTGCTTCATAATCTAAGCGTTTGAATGGTTCACCAAACCCACTACACACATATGATTGGCCATCTTCTAAATCATCTAGCTTTCCTATCTGAAAACAAACATTTAAATTATTTTTTTATAGTAATGGTACTCTTATTTTCTATGTAATATGCTAGGTTTACATCTGATATATTTATAAACAGAATTTGGAAAAAATTAGGACTTGTGTACTTGCCTTTCTACCTTCAAGAGAATAAATAGTCCGAACTCCACTTGGCAATGTAACATTATCGACAAGCACCCTTGTCAAATCTGCTGTTAAGCTATCAAAAGACCTGTAAAAGTTTATAGTCTACATACCATCATTTTGTTAACATTCATCTTTTAGGGATCATAAGACACAAGTGATATACTATAACTATTTTTCTGGAATGCACAATGTGGGTAAGCAATGAACGTGAATTGAATTAATAACTGCAACACAACAACACAATTGTTCAATAGCTATAATTTAAAATATTATAGTCCCAAAGTTTTTCAAAGAGCAGTTACTTTTACACATCTATTTAACAAAAAATTAGTTGAATTTAATTTACATTGTGCAAGTAGACATGAAAGTGAAAGTTCCAATTCTAAAATTTATTTTGTTAAAATGTAATTTCCCAACCTATATCTTTCTGGCAAGACGGGTATAATAACGCCGGAATAAAATTTGTCTCCATTCCTATAAAATCGAATTCGTTTAGCTTTTCTGGTTGGTTGGGCTCGCAGTACATTACTACGTCGGCTCGTTCTATTTTTTATAATTTCCATTTCACTCAGGTCCTTTTCTAACTCACAAACCGAGCTCGATCGACTCCCACTACGGCTTAAGTTATTCTCCATCTGGAATTCATAGAAAGTAAGTACAAAGTTACTAGATCATTTCACGGATTACAAATCAGATTCGGTCCTTACCTTCTTTTCGTTTTTGGGCCAAATTTCATGAATCGCTTAGTGGTCTAATAGGAAGGAAGTTGTCACTTTTTACATGTGTTCCATTTTGCTCTTGTTGTAACGAAATATTTTTCTTATTATAATAACGCACAAACACGTAAAACTCAACGCAAGCACCTACACTTCATGAGGTAAGAAGAACACGAATTAATGAGCTCAAATACTATGGAAGTTTCAACTGTTATTTAGACATTACCATAGATTAACATAAAGATAGTAAAGATACCACAGAGGTTAACACTCTAAGAAAATTATTTTCTAAAAAACAAATATAAAAAAACTTTTGGTTAGAAAAACGTTTCTGACATTCCTAGAAAATTGTTTTAGTGTGGACCTCAACTGTATCATTGATTTATAAGACTGATATTAGTTTCCGAGTATTAGTAAATATTGTATATATGCATATATATATATATATTATTGCTTAGATGAGTGGACGAGCTCACAGCCCACCTGGGTTAAGTGGTTACTGGAGCCCATAGACATCTACAACGTAAATGCGCCACCCATCTTGAGACATAAGTTCTAAGGGTCTCAGTATAGTTACAACGGCTGCCCCACCCTTCAAACCGAAACGCATTACTGCTTCACGGCAGAAATAGGCAGGGTGGTGGTACCTACCCGCGCGGACTCACAAGAGGTCCTACCACCAGTAATTACGCAAATTATAATTTTGCGGGTTTAATTTTTATTACACGATGTTATTCCTTCACCGTGGAAGTCAATCGTGAACATTTGTTGAGTACATATTTCATTAGAAAAATTGGTACCCGCCTGAGATTCGAACACCGGTGCATCGCTCAATACGAATGCACCGAACGTCTTATCGCTTAGGCCACGACGACTTCATAAATAACTATATAACCATTGATATACCCCAAATACTAAAATTTATATTTTTTCCCTACCTATTTATTCGCTAATAGCCTATGGTAGCTATTCCAATTAAGCCCGTGCGGGTAGGTGGAATCATGGGCTTAACCTGAGAGAATTTGCTAATACTAGCCCTAGCAAGGGCAGTCCTTCGCAGAATCTACCACCGGATCGAAATCGCAATCTATTGAGAAAATCCGGCAAGAAACTCAATAGGCTGTGTCTATGAGATAGTTCAGTCGCCGAACTCTTCATCGTAATCGACGAGTTCAACGAAGATGATGACCGGTGCCTGAGAGATCTAAAAGCGCCGCGATAAGACATGTTTCGGGTGACGGCAGCTTTGCGTTGCGCCACCTGGGTCGAATAGATAATTAGCAGCGGCCCTAATAAGAGGATTTATTATGTCGCGCCGTTTTGTCGAAATAGCGTTCTTAGACCACTTATGATACTTACGTATCGATTTTACATATAGATCGTCGTGAAGGTCAACATTCGACACATACCACGGTGCTCCAACGTTCTTGCGCGGAAGCGCCTTGTTGATCTTCTGTCTTTTCTTCTTGTGGGTGATATCTCTCCACATTTATCTTATTACTACATCTCAACTAAACCTAACTTACTTATCGCGTGGTAATCAATTACAAGATCACTGCTGCGTTGTTCGGAATACAGCAGCGGCATGATACAACTACGTAAACGGAGGAGGATTACAGGATGGTGTAACGTAGAGGTATAGGTAGACTAAAGCTGTCCTCCTTGCATGTGCAATCCCCAAAAGGGTGAACCGCTGGTTGTCTCTATCTCTCTTAGGTTCGCTGCACGAGTTAATATTTGTGACGGTCGTCTTTAAGCTGTGCAGCCACAAGAATTCCGCGACATGTCATCGCCATTAAGAAATGGGAATCGTTGGAAGTTTTTGTTCAAAGGGCACCGAGCTCCCGAGCGCTGTGCATATAACGCTTTCAAAAGACATAGCTGTTAGTTTCTTATTGGTGTTTGCATTTTACCGCACGCTGCCACTGGTGATGAGCAGTATTGAAGATTCCACAGTGCTTCCCTCCCAGACTGGAGGTCGTGCCTGTAAGCTAGCGTTGTTCGCGCTGAGATTTTCTTGCAAGGGACGCTGCAGATCTGTTTGTAGTGAATCGACTGCGATGCGTCTAGTCAAGCTTCGATGCTGTCCCAGGTCCCCAAGTCATTGCATGTGAGAGAGCGCTTAACGTGAAACCGGCTATGGGAGACAAGAGGTTATTTATACTTTTTTTGCGTTCTGTGTGATACTCTCTCCCTTTCTTTTTCGATCTCTCTCCCTCCCACTCTCATTCATCCTCTCCTCCTTCCTATCTCTCTTCCGCAGAAATCCCCCACTCGTACTTTACACAAAGCTTTGACCTCACTTTTAACTTATACATCAAAGAAAATTAGATGATATTTACTCTTGTCTTTTGTTGTTTGATTGTCTGATTTAAATTTAACATGTCAAAAACAAAACATTATTTGATGCCTTGAAGGTGATCAATTGACCATCAATTCATAGGTGGCCTTTCGAATTTCTTCTGAAATCATCTTTTTTTTAAAATCGGCATGATATGTTTGAATCTGCGTGTCATTTTTTTAAATGTCAGCTGACGTTCAGCTATTTATCTATATATAGAGGTAGTTTTCCAATTACAGCACAAGAGCGCATTATGCGGCATAATGCTCAACGTTGAATGTTCCAACTACAGCAACGCTTCGCACAATCGAGCACTCTCAAAAGTACTGCTCTCGCGTGATACTCGCAATCGATACCGACTCTGTGACAGAAAATTGACAAGTGTTTTTTCTTTAAGTTGGCATTGATCGAAATTTTGTTTATATTATCGTTAGTAATAATATTTAATGTTGAAAAAAATTGTAAGGCTTTCGTTTCGTCGTAGTTTCTTAGAAATAATCAATGTTAATTAAAACTGTGCTAACTTAGCGCACACTGCTGATGCATTTGAAAACTAATTCATGTTCCAATTAAGCTTCAGCATAATTCGGAATTGTGCGTCACTGAGTCGCATTATGCTCTGTAATTGGAAAACTACCAGAGTACCGTACCTATGTAAAATGATTTACCATTTATGTGCTGGTAGCCTCTACGTACTCTATTCCAAAGAGAACAGTAATTGCTCTCTACGCTCGGCTGGTAACCCAGTAAACAGGTGACGCATTTACCATCAATTTCGTTTGATGTCAAAAGTGCAGACAAAGAGTGTGATTAAATTGTATTTTTCATCATTGTGTAAAAATTGTTGTGCAAAATGTCTTCACGGAAAAAGCTCCTGCTAAAGGTAATTATCCTGGGTGACAGCGGTGTTGGAAAAACATCTCTGATGAATCAGTTTGTCAACAAAAAATTTTCCAACCAGTACAAGGCGACAATAGGTGCAGATTTTCTCACAAAAGAAGTAATCGTTGACGATAGAATCGTTACGATGCAAATATGGGATACTGCTGGCCAAGAACGGTTCCAATCGCTTGGAGTAGCTTTCTATCGTGGGGCGGATTGCTGCGTATTAGTTTTTGACGTAACTGCCCCCAACACGTTTAAGTCCTTGGAGAGTTGGAGAGACGAATTCCTGATACAGGCATCACCTCGTGACCCTGATAATTTCCCCTTCGTAATATTGGGAAACAAAGTCGACTTGGATAATCGTGCCGTTTCTGTCAAACGTGGTCAACAATGGTGCCAGAGCAAGAACGACATCCCGTATTTTGAGACAAGTGCCAAAGAAGCTGTCAATGTAGAGCTAGCTTTTCAAACAATAGCACGCAACGCATTGGCACAGGAAACCGAAGCTGAACTCTACAATGAATTCCCCGACCAAATCAAACTGAATGCTAATGACAATGGAAGAAACAGGGACGGTGACAACTGTGCTTGCTAGACCACTGCTACTGCATCAGCCATGGTTTTTAAAATGTTTCTGGTTTTTATATCCATAAATACATAGTGTAACACTAAGTAATTTGTGTTTTATGGATCATGTAAAAATGTATAGAATCTATAAGTACATTTTAATTTGAATTTTTTATCATGCACCTAATTATGTTGTCAAAATGATGCACTGGCAATTTTTTATTCTCTTCTGGCTATTTGTAAACATGTCAAAAAATGAGAACGGATGTTGACTTAAATACTTATGCCACCTTTTTCTACAATTCAATTTTAAAACAGTTGGATAAACAATCCAAATGAAAAGAATATTAAATTTAAATGTACCATTTCTGTTTGTGTATCAATTTTATTTATCTGTCAACATTAGTTATATGATGCTAAATTTGTTGTCCTTGACTCTAAAACTTTGATTACTCTGAATTTATCTATAGGCATATCTCATTTTTATTCTAATATTGTGATATACATACTTATTTTAATTACTTTATAGATAAATGATATTTAGCAATCATAGTACTATAGTTTTGAGGATAATATTATAACTAGAAGGAGAGCATCTTGTGTCACCATTGTTAAATTCTGTTGAAACTGGAGTAGTCTATTTTAATCTATATACTGCATAGTATAAACACATGTAGCATGAATATTTCTGTATGTATATATTTGGAATTTAAATATTAGTTCTAAGTAGTTAATGATAACATTACTCAGCTTATAACAGTTGTGTTTTATGATCAAAGAGCAACAGGAAATAAGATCATATTACGGTGACACAACAAAGTTATAGTAAGGTCATGACACATAAATATAGATTACTTTCAATTCAAATCATTTTCTTCCTTGACTAGTCTGTGATTATCATCTGCAATATGGATCCTTCCAATATTATTTGATAACCTTTATATGCAAATAATTAATCACATTTTTAGCTTAAATGTTTCAGCCAAATTTTCAGCCTCAAGCTTAATTAAAGGCTTTTAAGCATCATGACCTTGCATTTTATAATAAAGTATTATGTGAAAAAACTCACGTAAATTGCAAGTGTTCTATTAATTAATACATAAAATGCGTAAATTAAGAGTTAGTTTTAATGGAAGGTAACTAAAATTAACATATAATATTATGCTGTAATAATGGTTGCTTTTAATTTTATATCAATAAATAAACCAATATAAATTTGTTGTTTCAATTATGAATTAACATAGTAATAATTTGTTTCTGATTATTGTTGTATATTTATTTGTTTTTATATATTGTGAATAAATATAGACATGTCTGTAGTTCACATGCTGTAATAGTGAAACCTTAGCAAAATATAATGTTTTTAATTTCAGTATTACTTTTGTGTACACTATTGTAAATCACATCAG